TTTCTTCTTCTTCAGTCAGACAACCCTCTCCTTCACCAACTCAAACCTCAGTCTCCTCAACCACAATATGCACGACCTCGCTCTTCCTCACACTCTCCTCCCTCGGCATAAGCCTACACTTGGCGACCGGGTTCACCTGGGTCTTGCGCTTATTCTCGCGCTTCATGAATGGGATCTGGAAGGTGCCAAGCAGGGCCACCAGGGCGCTCGCCCACCACGGCAGCGCAGTAAAGTGCTCGCGGGAGCCAAGGCCGTACAGCAGGCCCGAGAGGGGCGAGGCGACGGTGCGGCACGCCGCGCCCGTGCTGGCAGCCAGGCCGTTGATCTTGCCGAGGTGCGCCGCCGAGGGCGACGCCTCCTTGATCAGGATCAGCAGCAGCGGGTACGCGAGGATGGAGAAGAAGTTGCGGATTGCGAGCGCCGCGTAGATGGCCGGGAAGACGATTTCTTCCGGGAGCACCACCAGGTACGGCACGATGACGTAGGCGAGGGGGTGCCCGACCGTTACGAGGATGAAGAGCCGCCATACGCCCAGCCAGGCGGCCATGAGCGGGAAGATGATCGCTTGGATTACCAGCGCGATTATCCCGTTGATGCTGAGGATCAAGCCGACTTGCTGGATTGTCAGACCCAGGCCGCCGGCGAGGGGTGCGGAGAGGAGCGCGGACACGCCGTTGGAGCGGCGGTCTTGGAGGAAGATGGGGAGCAGGACGTCGTAGGCCATGCTGTGGTAGGTGAAGAGGCCAAGCGCGGTGATGAGCATGAGGACGTTCTTGTTCCAGACGCTCTGCGGGCGAGACCGCGAAGCCACACGCTGCCCGTTTGCCTTGACGGTCCAGCTGTGCTCCTGCTGCACGTCTACGGTGTCGAAGGTGCCGTAAGATTCCGTAGCCAGGTTTGCAGCTGCGTGCGCAGTGGCACCGGCAGTAGGCATGAGAGGAGTCTCTGCGCTGGTCTCTGCAAGGTCCTCGGCGGTGCTCCAGGGCTGCATGTCGGGATGAGTCTCTTCAAGGAAGACATATCCGGCAATGATGGATCCAAAGAGCATCAGCGCGCAGATGAGGTTAGGCAGCAGGTAGGGGAACTTGGCAAAGATACTCTCAGGAGGGAACAGAGAGGGGAAGTTCTTGCAAGGCTCCGCAAAGTACCCACCAATGGAAGGTCCAACGATGGTTCCAACAGACCACACGAAGGGCATTACTGCATATGCGCGAGCTTTTTATATCGTCAGCAGCTGATAGATTTACAGGGACTCGTGTGTAGACTTACGCTCATGCTCCGGCTTGTGCACGAGTTCGCCAACCATGGTCTGGATGACGCCGATGTTTCCGTTCAAAATGCCACCAAGAGCCCGTCCGAACAGGGCGAGCCAGAAGTTACCGGCGAAGCCAACAACGAGGAGAGACAGAAGCGTGCCCGCGCATCCGAGCAGCAAAACAGGCTTACGGCCGATGCGGTCGGAGAGACCGCCCCAATACATGCCAGTCAAGGCCTCGGCAAGGGCAAAGGCCGAGATGAGGATGCCGGCGTAGAAGGCAGCATTGCTCTCGTCGGTGACATTGTAGTGGAGAACCAACTTCCAAGCATACGGAAAGATGGAAGTAAGAGCAATGGGCTCCGCAACTCGGACGAGCGCTGCAACGGAGAAAGTTCAGCGAGAGGCCAGACGGAGTAAGAGGGGGAGGGGGAAGAAGACTCACCTAGCACGAAGAGCTGGGAGGTAGGGAACTTGCTCGGGTCGCGAGGGTATCTTTTCTGCTCGGTAAGAAACATTCTCTCTCAAATAATATGAATCTTACGGTTATGCCAACACGCCAACCGAGTGAGCCGTCGAGGAGATATATATGCACAGCAGACACTCAGAGACCAAGAGGCACGAGCACGTCAGAAGAGCAAGGACCCGAAAGCAGAGAGAAGAATGTCGCAAGGGAAGAGTTGGACGAGGAGGTCGGCGCAAAGGTTTTAAGAAGGCATCCGAGGGAGCACCAAACGATCGCCGGCAGCCACGGCAATATGCAACGGGGGACGTGCGCTCGGACGCATTCGAGCAAGGTCAGACCAGAGCCGCGCCGTTCCCAGACAGCGAAACCCGCCCCACCAACCCGCGAGAAGCTTCAGGAATGTCGGAGATAGTCCGACCCTCCACCGCACTTTTTCTGAAAGAGCAACCCGCCTTCCCCTCACAGAAACGCGCCCGCCCTAGCCGTGGCTAGCTTTTTATCTGCCCTTTTGCTTCCCCACGATCCACCGGGCAAGCATTGCACGGCTATACCATGCAGCATCGCGTTAGCGCGTGCAGTTACTGGCCCCGGCGTGCACGCTGATGGGGCCAGCCGATGTCGGCTATTTAGCTCGCTTTCCTCTTCCGGCCACCCATCACAAGTCACAGCGGACGGACGGGAGCCGGGGAGTCACGCACGGCTGAGAGAGTGGAGGCCAGTTGGAGGAGGCTGACTGTGGGAAAGGAGCGGTCAGAGTCTGCTTTCTCCACCTGCTGGACGCTTTTTCTCTTTCAAGCTGCAACAATTCGCGGCACACGGGCTGCGCGGCTGCTCGTGCCACGTTACCGTAGATCTCCGTTTGGCGGGCAATCGATGCATGGACGGCGCATGGGCGAGCCTCGTCGACGAGGCGCCACCCGTCGCACTGCGAAGGGTTTTTGCTTGCGCGCTCGCGACCACTTCCCTTTTTCCGCCGTGTCATCTTTTTCAACGCTCCGCTAGCTTCAGGGTCTCGCTTCTGGTGCTGTTGCTCGAGCCTTACGCCACGGCCGCCGGCGCATTCGTCCAGAGCCCTTTGACTAAAAGGACTTCAACCATGGTTCGAGACCCCCTATCGGAAGTGGCCCGGAAGCAGCGCGGGCACGCGGGAAGCCAAAGTCCGCTGTTTTGGCCTTCTCACGTTGTTTTTTGTTTTTTGTCGTCGGCTGTCGCAGGTGCTGAGCAGGAGGACATGGACCTTCCCACCAACTTGGGAGCCATCTCCGCATATTGAACGTGGGTGCCGGGTAAGCCGCTCAGACCACGCCGCTTGTTTAAAGTGGCGACTATATTGACCCGTAGTCTAGACTGGAGGCGCAGTAGTCATGCGAAGATAAAAGGGACTCACGCGACATGTATGCGGTCCGTCCACTGTCTTCCTGTCACGAAGCGGCTGCAGTAGCGCTGCGCTACCAATGGGAAGTATCTCGTGTTTCATGGCTGGCCAGATGCGCCTGCAGCGCAGGAGTATGCGGGGACGCGCGCGCAGCAGCAGACGCGTGCGAAAGGCAGAGATAAGCCCGAGATCTGGTGTTGGACCGGGAGTGAGAGCAAGCAGAAATCAGTTAAGCGTGGATGCAAGGTTTCAGCTACGCAGAGATCGGACAGGGGGGGGAGGGGTTCTTCGTGCAGACAAAGCTTGAGTGTCTTGCTGCAGGGTCGTGGTTCTCGGGGTATAAACAGACCAATAAATCGTCCGAGTCTCATCAGTGGATAAATGCATGTGAAAGAGGGGCCTGCGCCACAGAAGGTGTTTGTTGCGCGCGTTGGAGCGTGAGCAGGTCAGACCAAAAGTTCGTGGCAGGTGGTAAAATACAGTCACAGTCACGTGAATGCACAGTGCACAGCCACAGGCCTACGTCACCTAATGAGGGGCAAAACGGTCGCGCCTGCGCTCGTTCGCTCGGGCAAGCAGGAATAAAGCCCCTCGCAGCAACTACATCACCGCTCCCTCATCATTCTACATAAACTCGGCCACCTGTCAACCACAACTCCACATTCCTCCACCCCAACATCACATCATTCAACACACATCATCCGCAACCATGACTACCGTCCACGTCGAGAACATCTCTCAGCAGACCTCCGAGAAGGAGATCCGCGACTTCTTCAGCTTCTGGTAAGTGTCGCCCCTCGCCTCATACCGCAGTTTGTTTGCAGCACAGCACACTAACATTCGACGCAGCGGCAAGATCCAGAACCTCTCGGTGACGCCCACCAACGAGAACTCGCAGTCGGCGACGGTGACGTTCGAAAAGGAGACGGCGGCCAAGACAGCCCTGCTGCTGGACAACACGCAGCTGGGCCCGGCGCAGGTCCACGTCACGTCGGCGAAGAGCATCGAGGAGATTGCGGGCGACAAGGCGACGGACGAGGCCAAGGTCGAGAAGGAGAACATTGACCAGGAGGACAAGCCGCGCGGCCGCATCATCGCCGAGTACCTCGCGCACGGCTACGTCATCAGCGACAAGGCCATCACGCAGGCGCTAGCACTCGACCAGCAGCACGGCGTGTCGTCGCGCTTCACGTCAACGCTCAAGTCGTTCGACCAGAAGTACAAGGCGACGGAGAAGGCGCAGGCCGTCGACTCCAAGTACGCCGTGACGGAGAAGGCGATGCAGGGCTGGCGCGGCCTGAACTCGTACTTTGAGAAGGCGCTCGGCACCCCCACAGGCCAGAAGCTCCGCCAGTTCTACGAGCAGGGCAACAAGCAGGTCGTCGATGTCCATAACGAGGCCCGCTACCTCGCCGACCTCAAGAAGCAGCAGCAGCAGGAGAAGGCCGGCGTCCACCAGGAGCCCGGCTCTGACCGCACTACCTGCAACTGCGGCTCCAGCACCGAGAAGTGCCCCTGCCCTCCCGGCAAGTGCGGCTGCACCAGCTGCGCCAAGAACCCTGGTGAGCAGCAGCAGGCGTCCACCGGCGCCCCTATCGACGCCAGCTCGGCTGCCCACTCCTCCTCCACCACCCAGCCCTCCGCTGCCTCCTAAACGGGGCAGTTTACTACACAGTTGATTGAGATACCAGAGGGTTGAGGAGTTGCGGTTGGGACGCAAAAAGAGGCGAGATTAGATTGATGACGACGAGTCAAGTGAAGTGAGTGAGTGAGTGAGGGCTTTCACCTCTTGCTGCACCGAGCGATGATGGATACCAGCAGATTGCGTCTTTGGGTCTTTCTGCCTTTTTTCTTTCTTTCTCTGTTCTGTAGCGATGACGAAATGCAAGCTGGCGGTCCCACCACCACCACCACTACTACTACCAACCTACTTACGTACTGTGTCTCACATCCGTGTGCCCTGTGCCCTGTGAACCGGAAAGCCTTGGCTTTGATCCCGAATGTGTCTTGCTAACTAAGCCATTGATCGTCGTCATCAAATGCTCGTGCTCGTGCGTGTGATTTTTCCGTGTTTCGGCTCTCTGCTACCTACCTAGCTAGCTAGTATAAATGTACAATTGCGATTCTTTAAGTAAAACAAAAACTTGTGGGGGAAAAAGAAAAAAGGAGGATCTCCCCCTTTTCCGACGCCGACGCTGGAACCACTACCTACTTTGTGGGGCAGACAGACAGACAGACAGACAGACAGCCAGTCTCCGCGCTCTCGTCTTTTTCGTCTATTCCGATACGCGCACCACACCAGCAAACACCTCCTTCCCAGCCGCAGCAATCGCTTTCTTCCTCGCTTTCGCTTAGAAGCAAAAAGAAACCCCAATAGCTTCCTCTCCTGTCCCATTCATTGGCCTCGCGAAGCGCGCAAACGCAAACGCGTCTACCGCCTCCCGCGCCCCCTGCTCCGACTGCGGCTGCGTTCGCTGTAGCTGCTGTAGCTGCTATAGCTCGGGCTGCGCCGGCGCCTGCCTCCACCACTACTTCCTCCTCCACCACCACCGCCCCGGGGCGGACTGCCTCTATACGAGCCACCGCCGCCACCACCACGACTGCTGCCCCCTCCTCCTCCTCCACCTCCTCCGCGTCTCCGTGGCGGCGGCGGTGTCCGCGACGCGCTGCGCGACGAGTACGAGCGGCTGCGGCTGCGGCGCGGGCTGCGCGAGCGGGAATACGAGCGCGGGCGGTAGCTGTAGTCGCCTCTTGCGCTGCCACCGGCACCAGCGCCTCCGCCGCCGCCACGAGGCCCGTAGCCCCGTCCCGGAGGGGGGCTGCGCCGGCGCGGGGGCGAGCGGTAGCGGCTTGGGCCTCCGCCTCCGCCGCCGCCGTATGCGCCGCGGCTGTAGCCTCCGCGTGAAGGGGGCGGCCCCCCGCCGCCGCTGGTGCTGTCGAAGCGCGAGTCGTAGGATGGAGGGGGGCGGCGGGCGGGCGGTGGGGAGCGCGAGAATCGCCGCCGTGGCAGCACGATTGATACAGAGAGGTGCACGCCGTCGAGTTGGGCTTCGTGCATGTGCGCAATGGCGGACTCGGCTTCCGAGGGGAGCGCGTACATTACGTAGGCCGTGCCGCGGTTGGTCATGACTGTGTGATGGGCGTTAGGTCTTGGGGTTCTCCTCTTTTTTTGATTCTGGGGGTAGAGGAGGGTGGGCTCACATTGCCGGTTCATGGGCATGTCGATGTCTTGGACTTGACCGTAGGCGCCGAAGATCTCGCGGATGTGGCCTTCGTTGACGTTCTTTGTGAGCTTCTCGACGACGATCTGGCAGGCCTGTTAGCAACCATACTTCCAGTAGACGACAGACTGCACGACTGCCGCAGGATATCTTCCATACCTTTGAGCTCCGGGGCGGTGATGCTTCGCGACTCAGGCTCCGGGAGTAGCTCCGCCGTCTGGCACCACCGCGCTCGCGACTAACGCTCCTCGACGCGCTACGCGCCGGGCTGCGCGCCGGGCTCCTGCGGTCGCCATTGCGACGAGTGTATCTGTCGCCGCGCGGCGACGGGGTCCGACTCGGGGTGCGCGACCGCGATGCCGAGCGCGGCGATATGGAGCGGCGTGGGGAGCGGGAGCGGTCCTGCTGCGAGGCGGGCGTCCTGGAGCGCGTGCGCGAGCGGCCGCGCGATGGGCTGCGGGAGCCTGAGGGTGAGCGCGGGGTCATTGAGCTCCTCTGGGCAGTGGAATTGGTGCTGCTGCTGGGGTCAAGGACGCGGGTTGTGGGTTGTTGATTGTTGATTGTGGACGGTAAGGGTTGGTGGAGCTTGGTTGGAGCTCTCTGCGGAGCTTTGGTGGTTGGTGCGGCGCGAGGGCTTGGCGCGATGCTTGGCACGAGGCGCCGGGTAACGACTGAGCGTGTCACTGGAGATATTTCAACGATCAATGTAGTACGTGTGCCATTGCATGTGTACATATTCGCTACAGTCTAAACAGCTATTACAAATGAATATAATTGATTAGGTTTTTATTGGCATTACTGAACAAAAGCCAGGCCATTGTCAGCAGCTATAATTCTCTCTACTAATACATCAAATCGTTACCTTTCCCCCAAAGGCCCAGCGTTCTTACGATTAACGTTACTCCGAGACCTCCTCGCCTCGGACGGCATAATCTTCATCGTCAAGCACCAGCTCCCTTAGCTTCTCGTCTGTCGCCCAGTCAACACCGCTCCCAACAATCACCCCTGCTACAATACTCTTGAGCGTGCGCCATTTTCGCCGGGAGTCTCGGACCTGCTCCTCGAGAGCCCGGATCTGCCCACGTAGGTTTTCATCGGGTACTTCATCTGCGGTCTGAGCCTTGTTTCGCTCGGCCAGGTCGAGGAGCGTCTTGGCCAGCTCCTGGTTCTTCTTGTTGGCCAGTTGGACGCTCTGTGAGGCTTTCTGAAGGCTCAAGTTGGTGCTTGTCAGGCTAGAAGTGAGTGTGGCGAGTGTCATGGAAAGGACATCGCGCTCATGAATGAGAGGGAGGAGGCGCCTGTCTCAGGTTAATATTTTTCCTTTTTCGCTGGTCGAATCATATCTAACACGCCACGCCACGCAGGAACGCTGCAACGGCTAGAGCCACCAGCGTGCAACATCAACCGTAGACTTTACCCCAGGAAAAGACGAATAAATTTGACTTGGCACGAAAAAAATATATGAAACAGATATTTAGAAATCAAACCTACTTCTCAGCATATGACGCGTTCGAGCCAGCATGGACGGCTTTGATGACGGGGTCCGTGACGAGAACGTGGTCAACAATCTTGTTCCGGAGCAAATATGCGGCCCTGGCTTCCAGCGCCTCGCGCTCGGCGACGATCAGCTGCTGCTCGATGTCATTGTCTGAAACAGCAGCCAGATTGGGAGCAGTGTCTGGAGAAGATCAGCGAGCTTTCTTTATGATTTTTTTTGAAAGCAATACGGACCAGCCTGCCGTGCTTCTAGAAGACTGCGCTCCAACTCGAGCTCGCGCTCCTTAGCATAGAGGTCTAGTATCAGCCTTTCAGTATCAGTAAGCACAAGGGCGTCGTTGCTTGGTGTGTCGAGGGGATTGATGGCGGGTGTTTGTGACACGTCTTCCGCCTGGCCGCGGGCTTCATCCATGATCGCCGATGTCAGTTGACATGTGAGATGGTGTTTTTGTTTCTTGTTGGTTCGGCAGATCGGCGTCGAGGGTGGAGTGTGTGGCTGGCTTGGCACGTGGGTGTGGCTGAGCGAAGGGCCACTAGCCACCCGGGGGAGCTTCCAGCCATGTCATGGCCGGGCCTCTCGTCCTCTCGTCCTCTCGTCCTCTCGTCCTCTCTCCATCGCCGCCGCCGCTCGACTCCCGCTTCATGTCGCAACACCCTCTTCGCCCGCCTCAGTTGCATACCGAAGGGGAGGCGGATGTCGCTCCACGTTTTCATCGCCCATACGGGCAAGCGGCTTGAGGCCGACCCTGTCAACTTTAACTCGCTGGACGCCCTGCGTTCGTGGATCCACACTTCCACTCACATCCCGCCTCAGGACCAGGTCTTTCTTACCGCGCGCGGCAAGAACGTGAAGCTCCAGACCCTTCTTACAGAGGTGCTTGCTCCTCCCTGTTACTCGACCAACCCTCCCTGTGTGCTAACTCTTTCCGGTAGAGGGAGATCTTCGTCTACGATCGCGACCTGTTCGCTCTCCCGACCCCACAAAACATCGACGCAGTAGTTCCGCCGACACCGCTTCCCGATCAGTTTGCTCCGACCGATCCTCCCGATATTCTCAAAAGCCACACGGATCTCAAATCATGGCAGAGCCTCTTCAAAGCGCGGCGAGACTGGGCTCTGGACCTTGTCGCCCAGTGTCGCTCCATGTCAGACAGGGCGCAGCAGGTCTTTGACGAGCAATCCGCTATAAACCGGGGAGTCCGCATCGCCACCGGAAACCACGAAGCGCACATCAAAAGCCTGGAACAGACACAAGCAGATGCACGCGCATGGGTTGAGGGCATCGCCAAGGAGCAGGAGGACAGCCTCCAGTCTTGGGAGGCCGATTTGGCACGCCTAAGCAAGATCCCTGCGAGTGAGCAGTTCAGGCGCTTCACTTCGACGCCAGACGATACACCCCGGAAGCAGAGCAAGAGGTCCAGTGGTAACCGCACTACGCTTGATACCTTCGTGGACTCGGAGAAGGCAAGACAGGCAGCTTCCATGGTTACGAGTATACTGGATGAGCTCTGGGGCCGCGTCGCCGATATGGATGCCAACATTGAGAAAATCACGTTGGACTACGGTGAATTGCTGAATGCAGTCGGCCAAAGCAGTAGCCAATCGTCCCACGATCACAGCCAAGAGCCCACCAGTTTGCTTGAGGAAGTGGAGGTAGTGGTAAAGAAAGTAGTTTCGGATTATGAGCATGTTCGCAGCCTACCGCCGAACCCCAAATCAGTAACATCGGTTTCTAAAATGGCGCTGCTCCATACACGGAACCACCTTCCCACGCTTGTGGAATACGCCCATGAAATGAACGATCTTGAGCGGAGAGCCGTCGAGCAGAAGAATTTTACAGTCCGTTCGGCCATCGAACATATGCAGACGATAGCTGTAATCGAGGGGTCGATCACTGCTGCTAACGCAGCCTTTCCAAATATTGATATACCTACAGAGAGCCAAGAGGCCATAGATGCACTACTGGCTATTTCGAAAATGCCCTACATCTATGGCATTATCTTGCTTGAAGCTGTGCGGCGGAATGAGTGGGCTGATAAGATGAGAAGGGACTCGGCGGCATTGGCCGAGGAGATCGCTGGCTACCGCGAGGAAGAGGATCGGCGGAGAAAACGGTGGCTCAAGAGCAATGCCGGCGTCGTCAACACGGACGCGACCAAGGGCAGCATCCTTGGCATTGAAATAAATGTTCAAGGTCAGGATGAAGCATGGCCGCATGTTGTCCGTCAGGATTTCCAAGACTACCTGTCAGCTCTTGGCAATACTGGAGGGTTTGAGCCTATTGTGGAAGAGTTAACGAAGGCTCTTAAGGATCTTGATCGTCCCACCCGCCAGCAGATCAAGCATGCCAAGGGATTCAAAAACGGAAGTCTGCATGAAGCCGCGCTTGGAAAGGGCTCGCTGATGCTCCGTGGAGAAGATGAAGTACGGGTATTAAGAGAATCCATGATAAAGACTGAGGAGGAGCTGAAGAGCTCAAAGAGTCGCGTGCGGAAATTGGAAGATCTGCTCCATCGCCAGAGTCATATCAGCCGACTTTCTATCGCGAGCGGTGGTGGCCCACCGACCTCACAAACACCCGATACTCCCACAGCGGAGCATTATCAAAATGCTGCTTCTCCAAGGCCTCAGGACGAATTGTCTCGGCAGTCGTCTGTTTCCTCGCGCCGGTACTCTGCTAATAAGAGTACCGAGGAAAAGAATCTGGCAAAACGTGTCGTCAGCCTAGAGGCAGAGCTCGTAGCCGAGAAGGAGCGTAGCGTAGGCCTAGAAAAGGAGGCTTCTGCACGGCACGATGCGGTCAACAACCTGCAGCGCCATGTCGAGGAAAGAGTATCCACTAATAAGGATCTCATGGAAAATATTGACTCGATGCAGAAAGACTGGGCCGAGGAACGCCGTGCTCTTGAGGCTGAAAATCGACGACTAAGATACAAGAACGAGGAACTCGAGGAGGAGCTCGAAAGGAATTTGGGTAGCCGTGACAACGAAAGGGAACATCATGACGTTAAGCTGCAGTCCCTTGAAGCTGAACTCGAACAGATTCGCAGAGATGCAGCTGAGGAGAGCCAGCGGCACAGGGAGCGTGCTGATGTTGACCAAAGAGCAATCCAGGATATGGAGCAAGCGATCCAGGACCGTGACGCGGCGCGAGCGGAGCTGAACGAGACCCTTTTGAACGCGTATGCTGCGCTGGCTGAAGACGAGTCTCCTCCAGAAAACAGCGACATGTTAGCAGTCGAGCTCGAGAAGCTGGCTCAAAGGACCAAGAATTACGCGCAGGAGCTCATCGAAGCCCTCGACGACGCAAGGGCCGACAATGAAGCTATCCACGGCGAAGCTGCAAAGGAGCGTGATGAGCTGGAAGAGACAATTAAGTCGCATGCGGCAGAGATCTCGAAGCTACAAGAGGAATACGCTGTTGAGACTGCCCGAGCCAAATCTCTCTCCGAAGAATTGGAAGAAGAGCGCGGCCATCTTGAGCACTTGCGAGCTAAGTTTGCGGAAGGCGAAACCGGCTCGGAAGCTTTGCGGCAACGTGTTGCAGAGGAAGAAGGAAAAGTTGAGCGGTTTAACGTGGAGCTTTCTGAGGTCAGAGCGCATGCCACGAAGTTGGAGTCCGACCTCTCTGGCTTAAAACAGAAGCACGACGCGTTGGAGAACGCCAGCAGCAATGATTCTTCCCGATCAGAGCAGCAGTTGAAGCGCGCTAGGGAGCTTTCAGAGAAGCTGCTCGCGCACAACGATCGTCTGCACAAGCTTTTGGAGACGCTTGGGTTTGCTGTTACACACCAAAATGGCCAAATGGTTATTCAAAGAGCATCAAAGGTGGCTGGCAGCAGCACTATGCTGTTGGGCGATGCTGCAGAGGCAATGAAGCGCAGTTTTTCGTCCGGGCCCTCAGCCAAGAAGCCGCTCGAAAGCTCCACCGAGCTCAACGCAATCAAATGGACACAGCAGGACAACGCCGAAGAAGAAGCAGCCAAATATGTTGATTTTATCAACATCGTTGATCGATTCGACGTTGAGACTTTCAGCGAAGCCATCACGAAACGCATGAGGGACATGGAGCACACAGCGCGGAAATGGCAGAGGGAAGCCCGTACCTACCGCGACAAGTCTCACCGCTACCAAAGCGATGCGCACGAAAAAATAGCCATTCGCGGCTTCAAAGAGGGCGACCTCGCGCTCTTCCTCCCGACTCGCAACCAGGCGACACGCCCCTGGGCTGCCTTCAACGTCGGCGCGCCGCACTACTTCCTGCACGAGCAGGAGTCGCACCGGCTGCAAAACAAAGAGTGGCTCGTAGCGCGCATCACGAAAGTCGAAGAGCGGGTGGTGGACCTTTCAAAGTCCATGGACGGCATGCGCGGCAGCGACGGCCGGTCCATCGGCGACGCCAGCAGCGGCATCAGCTACGAAGACGACAACCCGTTTGAACTGTCGGACGGGCTGCGCTGGCATCTAGTCGAAGCAGCCGAGGAGAAGGTCGGCGCGCCACTGACGCCGGGCCTGGGCAAGAGCACGGTGCACAGCACGAACGTGGACGCGCGCGGCAGCATCCGCATGAAGAAGAGCTTGATCGGGAACGATGCTAGTAAGACGCTGAACAAGAGCCTAGACAGCCGGCGCAACAGCGCGACGTCGACGTCTCGACGCGCGACGAGAGGCAGTCCGGGGACGCCGGAGACGCCTACGGCGGCGGGGGAGGGGGGAGCGGGAGACGGCCGCATGCGCGCCGACAGCCGCTCGTCGAGCTTGCGCCCGCTGCCTGCGGCCGTGGTGGTGGGAGAGACGACGGCGTCGCCGTCGCCGCCCACGGCGGCGAGAGAGGGCGACCGTGCTGCTGCTGATGAGGTCAGGACCGACCAGCTCCTGGGGCCGTGAGCGGGCCGGGAGGCTGCTCCTCTCTCTCTCTCTCTCTTTCCCCTTGAGCAGGAGCACTGACCGCCGCCTAGGGAGAGAGCCACGGTGCCTGCGCCAGCGCCAGCATCAGCACTAGCACCAGCGCCAACACTGGCGTCACTTCGCCCGCTGGCGTCACGGCTACGGCGGCCGCGCCATCGTCGTCGACTAGAGCGGCGCAGCAGGCGCTGGCGCTCGCGGCGGCGGGGTCCGGGTCCTCGCCGTCGCCAAGAAGGCAGGCTTCTGCGCAGGCTTCCGCGGCGCAGGCGCCTACGTCCACGCCCTCGCCGTCCACGCCGTCGCCGGCTCGGCAGCGCAGGCCGCGCAGTGGCCTTTTCGACTCCTTGCTGCAGTTGGATTTTAGCTATGAGCGGGGGAGGGGGGGCCGGTAGTGTGGGGGTAGGTAGAGGTGAGGAAGAGGGGGTGGTTTTGGCTTGGGGTTGGAGTGGGGTTATTTTTTCGGTGATGGGTATGGTTATGGTTATGGTTATGGTTATGAGGGGTAGAGTGGTGGGAAGTGCGGCTGCTGATGCTGATGGTTTCGCTTCTTCTTCTTTCTATACCCAACCAATGCGCTCGAGTAGGATAGGTAATGTCCGTCGCCGTAAAGCGAGATCCACTGTGAAGCGAGATCCACTGTGAAGCGAGATGGTGAGACTTGTATGGAGTAGAAGAAGAGACCTAGATAGTTAAGGTGTGCGTAGTTCAAGATCTTTTCACCCATATCTAGGACTCGAGCTTAGAGCTAGGCAAGGAGTACTCTGTAGGGACTGATTATATTATGCCCTGTCTCGCTAGACGGTGGATCTCGGTTCGCGGTGACGGACGTCGCATCATATCGTGACGTTTTCGGCCGTTAGGGTAAGTTCGGGCATGTAGCTAGGTAAGGAGTGCTCTGTGGGGACTGCTTATACGGCCTATTGTACCGCTATATGCTAGACCTCGGTTTGCGGGACTCGGACATGTAGCTAAGTAAGGAGCGCTTTGTGGGGATTGCTTGTACGGTCTACTATGTCGCTACACGGTGGACCTGGGTTCGCGGAAGTCGGGCTGTAAGCTAGGTAAGGAGTACTCTGTAGGGACTGCTCGTGTCGTCGCCTCTCCCGCTAGTAAGGCAGTCGAAACGCTATGGCACATGGGAAAATCAAACGGATTACAACAATACTCTGTAGATGGGAAGCACTTAGTCACGCAGCATGCAATAGTTTAAGGTGATACAAAGGGTCGATGTATTGCCGCGGTCGGTTTCGAGGAGACTTTCTTCTTGACTATAAAGATGCTTCGGGCGCCTTGAAAACTTCAACTATTGCATGCTACCCATCAACTGGCTCGTTTATCTGTTTTCTAAGACTAAAAAAGGGGGCGCCGCGCCAACACCAGCAGTATATCGATCCTTTGTGTTACCATCCGGCAGCTACAAGCTTTCGATCCTTCCATTTTACTTGGATGGTTATGCATGCCATTTTGCTTATATGGTGATGCACACCATTTTACTTATATAGTAATATATACTATTTTATTTAGATATTAATATAAACTATTTTTCTTAGATAGTAATGCATGCTATTTTATGTAGGTAAGAGAGCTCTACCCGTATAATAGATAGTAATATAGCGGGTCGATGAATTGCTAGCGTCAGCGCGGGCGTTAGCGCGGGGACCTTTATTTCAACTTCAAAGGCTTGTAGAGGAGCTAGTTAATAAGGGAGGAGTTATTCAGTTACGTAGCATGAGGGAGTAATTATTTAGTCACACAGTCGGAAGTGTAGCCCGGGTGCTTGGACGGAAAATATTAAGACTATATTTCTAGGTCATGGCTTGCAAATCGCAACTACGTCACCGAGTCTGACAAATTTCAAAGATATATCACGGTGCTGAATAGCAATGTTAGTCGGGAACGTAGCCCGGGTGCTTTGAACGGAATATGTTGGACTGTATATCTCTGGGTCATGGCTTGCGAATCGCGACTAAGTCACTAAGTCTGACAAATTTTGACGATGTATTGCGGTGCTGGATAGTAATGTTAGTCGGGAGTGTAGCCCGGGCACTTTAGGCGGAAAACGTTGGAGACTATATGTCTGGGTCATGGCTTGCAAATCGCAACTACGTCACCGAAGCGGAGACCCCTCATTCTCTCCCTTGTTTCTTCTTGTTTGGTAGTTAGGCGGCTTTCGCATGAGCATGGGCCCCCTTTTCTTTCCGCGGTTCCTCTTGTTTGTTAGTCGGGCGGCTTCCATATCGGCGGTCTCCGAATAGTCTAGACTAAATAGTCTACGCAAGGGAATCGTAAGCCTAGCTTGGGTAAGGGGTAGATGACCGACGACTATGGTACGTAGAACATGAAGCCGGGGTTTAGCTTGTCGGCTCGCAATTACTTACGTCAATAAGAGCGTTATACGTCCGAGCACGAAGACGTGCCGAGGAATCGTGGTCCTGTGGTCGCAAAAACGTTACATGTATATCTCGAATGAGACATATGGAGTGGGCGGAGTCTGACAAATTTCAACAATATATCACGGCGCCGGACAGCAGTGTTTTCCTAAGGATCCAAAAACGAGTCAACGGAGCTCGAAATCACTTGCATGATTTTAGCACCCATGGATTTTGAATCTCGAACCAAATAGGAACGAAGGCCATTGCGCTGCTAACCATGGGGGGGTTGGAGGGTACCCAGTGGGACTTTGAAGAACGTAGACCTCCGAACTCATCATACACCTTCGAAGGAGCAGAAATCGAGTGTGCACGTCGTGAATGATCAGTGTCGACGCAGAGTACCATAGTTGAATCAAAAGTAAGCAGAGTCTGAAGTGCCTATAAAATCCCCTCCAGCCCCAAGCCCCCTTTCTCTTCCTTGCACAACTCTCAATCACGCGCGCACACACACACAAACACACACACGTACGTTGCCCTTCACTCACTCATCTCTTCGTTTCACTTGCTAACACCCCTTTTAGAAACACACACACACACACACACACACACACACACACAAACGCGCGCGCACACACAACACACATACGTACGTAGCCCTCTGCTCATCACTTCATTGCATCCTGCTAACATGCTTCTTAGAACCATGATTTATATAATAAATTGGATTGTGTACAAACTTTCAAAATCAAAAAGAAAGTCTTTGCGTAGGCGCAGGCAGTTTATAGACCCCTTGTATTACCATCCATCAAAGCGTAATTAGAATCAATAAGCAAACATGATTCTGGGGCTCTAAAACTTAAACTATTGCATGCTATGTGACTGAATGAAAACTCCCTTATGCTACGCTCACCTTTTGACGTCACCCGATGAAAACGACAGTTTTAGACACCAACGATATGAGAGTCAAGCAAGCCACAGTATCTGTATATCTTCTATTCCTCCTCTCTCTATTGAGAGGTGCTCGAAACACAAAAGACTACAGCTGCTCCAGCCACTCCTTACTGTGAGTGAAGTGAGCCGCTTCAGACCAGACAGACCACGGCGTCAAAAGCAAATTCCCACTACTCCAGCCTTTTTGAAGAAAGAAGAGGTAAAGCAACCTCAAGAAACAATATGAACAGGACCGGTGGGTGTATGGACGCCACACCATTCACCCAAGCACCCCAATAGCGTCGACAAAAAAGGCAAAAGGTTCAGCGCCAGCGGAATAGTGCAGAGCCAAGCGCCTACATCCTTACCCACCGCCAGCCCTGCAGACGCGCACCCTGCAAGGATTATGTTTTGCCATAGCGCAGTTTCGAACGCTGGGTTCGAATTAACTGAACACAACGCTGTTAGTTGGTACTTAGCCAAGTATCAACTACGCCACACGGACTATTATGGTTACAACTGTGTTCGTTTCCGCGCAATATATAGAACATGCTGGGTAGCTGTGCCCATAAAAGTGATCTTAGCGCACTCACGCAGCCGTAGCCACCCGCGGCTTCCTGGCGTACAGGTGAACCACCGCCTCGAACAGGTCCCGGACGGGCGGCAACGCGAACGACGGTCCGACGTCAAACACGTTAGCCAGCTGCTCTGGCCTGACGAGTGGCTTGTCACCCTGTGCGCCCTGCTCATCTTCCAAGTATTCAACCTCCTCCGCAAGCGGCACCGCTGACCTGCTGTCTTCCTCCTCATCTTCACCCTCATCACCAATCGGCTCGAGTGCCGTCTCCTCGTCCTGAATCTCCGCGAGGTTCTGCTCGGCCTGTGCGATGGGTGCAATGAGCTGTAGCTCATAGCTGGTCTTGGGCGCGATGACACGGATCTCGGCGGTCGTGTTAAGGGCAACGTAACCCTTGCCACCCTGTGCTGGGAGGAGTGCCGTGACAAGACAGTTGATCTGCTGCGTGTAGAGTGGTTTAGGACTCGAGGCTCCGAAAACGACAATCTTGGACTGGCGTCTGGTGTTGGGCTTCTCCGCCGACTTCTTAGTGTCAAGTTCGGTGACTGGGAGGGCGACGGCGAACGTGTTGTCGGTCGGATTAATTGCAAGATGGGCCATTTCAGCCTTCTGCGCACGATTGAGGTTAAGCGGGCGAATGCTATAACCGAAGCTGAGTTCATCATCGACGAGGTCCCAAACACTGAGTGAGTTTGCCAAGATGATGAACTGGCGGCCAATAAATCCCAAATCAACGAGGCCAGTGTTGTACAGACCGCCGCGGGAGTAACGAATTGTACCAGAAGCAGGGTTGATGAAGTGGACTAAGCCCTGACTGGCATTGCCGTGGAATTCCTGACTGGCGGCGAGGACGGAACCGTCGGGGGAATAGGCGAGACGAGCATGAATAGGGGCCTGTGCTGGGGATGCCTCAGTGGACTCAAGGCTCTCAAGGCTGGCCTCGAGCCTTACAGAGTGGCGGTTCGCCCAAGTGATGAGACCTTCGCCTTTGCTTCCTCGGACGACAGTGCCGTCATGTAACCTGGTCTTGGGGGCCCAGATGCGAACATAGCCATCTTCACCGACCGTAGTAAAGGAGGCGTCAGTCGGGTCGTACTTCAAGTCGAAAACACGACCGGAGACCAGCTTGTCAGCAAATTGATGAGGAGCATCAATACGCGTCTCCAACATCCATTGCTCGGTCTGCTCGTTCCACAGCCAAAACTTGAGATAGATCTCCCGACGAGCACGCTTCTCCTCCTCGATCATGAGCTTCTCGGCCGCCAGATGCTCAACGTCGTCGGCAGGCGGGGCCCACTCTTCAACAGTAGCCAACCAGCGTCCATCATGGCTGACCTGCAGATGCTTGACGTCCGGTTCCCGCAGCCTAGCTGCGTTTGGACCCTGGGCGAAGATCGTAGCGTTGTTTCGGGTTATGGCTTGGCGGAAGACGTGATGGTTGGCGGAGATGTCGTAAGTTTGGAGGAATGGAGCAGGCAAATGGATGATGCTCGCATCGGTTTTCGGTTGCGAAGCAGGTACAGCAAGCAGGACCTGGCTTGAGCGCAGAGGGTTGATGGCAGCTGGAGTACGCTGCACTTCGTCCAACAGACGCTCTTCGGGCGTGTTTGTAGAACCAAGGGAGAGGACCTGTGACTGGACTCCAGCAATGTTCGCCTTCGCCTCGAGGTCCGTGGTGGAAAGCACAATAACAGAGTTATCGGCCAACTGAACAGCATACAAAGACCCTGACGGGGAGATCTTGAGGTTGTCAATCGCTGCACTAAGATGCGGCAAGTACTGCCTCTTGCCAGTCTCCATTTGCCAGATAACCAGAACAGATTCCAGACCGCCAGAAAGAACGTAGTTCCCTGTTCAATGTCAGTGGTGATTCGTGTTCAAAACCTGCATATCACGTACCGTCCAGGGACCATTTGGTCGTCGCGACAGCATTTCTGTGCCAGTGGAAGAGACGCGGCGCAAGGCTGACAGGTTGAGACTCCTTCTTCGGGTTCTCAGCCTGGATCAGCTTGAGCAGAATGTCCTCGTAGACAAACACGGCACCATTGGCGCAACCGATGGTCAGATTGGTCGCATTGGCCGAAGGCGCGGCGCCCTTGCGTGGTGTTTTCTTGGTATCCTTCTTCACGTCCGGGCGCCCGACCCGCACGTCAATTGCTGTCACAGTCTCCGTGCACTTAATCTCCCTCCACACGAACGTGAAGTTCTTGAGCTCCGTCATCGAAGTTTCCTTTGCCTTTCCAATCATAACTCTGTCGGTGAACGCGACGGCAATAACATGCCCATCGGCGGCAACACTGAAAGATTGGATCGCCAATTTCGTCTTCAGCAGCACAACAGCCTCAGAGTCCTTTCCTTCGCTGCGGCCGCGCAACCTGTGGGCAGAAATGGTATTGCTTTGGCCTCTCTCGTGGGTATACAGCGTGTCGACCTTGGTACCATTTTCCTCCTCGAACAGAGCAGTGGTCATGCCCTGTATGCGGGAAGCAAGATCCCAACGCCCCAATTTCCTCCCGTTCACCCAGTCCCACAGCACAACAAATCCGGAAGCATCGGACACATAGATGTTGTCAGGGTTTGCGCTTGACAACGCGTAGGCAGAGATGGGGTGGCTCGTGTTGCTCGGGAGAGTACGGACGAGAAGCGAGGTTGCGGTTGAGTAAATGTGCACTGCTCTTGCTGTAGAAAAGATAAGGTATCTAAAAAGAATCAGCACAAGATATTCCAATACCAACAGGGTAGTCTACCTCTCGTCTCGGCTGAAAACGGGCTCGATGTGCAGGAAACGTCCACCCGCGGGGTCAGACGTGTACCAAGTATCCTTCTTTCCACGGCTCTTCTTCTTCACCTGCTTGCTCTCATCCCCTCCGACCTTAGCCACTGCATTTTGTCCACCAACCACGAGCGCAGTCTCGTTTACGGTTGGCGTTCCATTCGCGACGGCCTCCTCTTCCTGCGTGCGGATGCGCTTGGCCTCGTGCTTGCCGGCGCTAGCATCCTTGGCCTTCCTCTTGCGCCTGGAATCAACGGGGTTCCGTGGGGAGGCCTGGGCGACTTGGGGACCCGACATGGTGGTGATGGGATGCGCAGGGCTCTGCTGGTCTTGGAGTCGCGAACGAGTGATTGAAGCTTGAGCGAAAGAAATTCTTTGATCCGTGCGTCACCGCCTGCGGAGCCGCATCACCTCCGGGCGGAACTTTCATTCTCATTCTCTGCCACAAAGCCCGCTTCCCGACTCACCACCCAACCTCAAAGGCTCCTCGACCCCGGCACGCCCTCCTGCCAGCTCGCCGCTCCTCAAGCACCGCTTCGCCAAGATGATCATCCCCATCCGATGCTTTTCCTGCGGCAAGGTACGCCACTTTGCGACCGCCCCGCATCGCGCGACTCGAATGCTAACGGCTAGTTGTAGGTCGTTGGTGACCTCTGGGACCGCTTTGTTGCCCTGATTGAGGAGGGTCTGAGCGACGGGTGAGCTCATAATTCGTCGCGCCTGATGTCTTGCAGATGTTGACCTTGTTCTAGTGACGCTATGGACCAGCTCAAGCTCAACCGTTACTGCTGCCGTCGCATGGTCATGACCCACGTTGACCTGATCGAGAAGCTCCTCAAGTACGTGTCATAACTACGAGCGCATGTTTCAGGACCTAACAACGTGCAGGTACAACAATGCCGAGCGCGAGATCCAGCGCATGCGCGCGGCGGGCGCCTAGGTGTATTCGAGCGAGTACGATTCTCGGAGTTAGTGGCGCAAACCGCATTTTTGAAAAAGATAGCATGTGATGGTACAGGCGTTCTGGGACATGGGCAATCGGATGTTACCCGATTTGGGCGAAGAATATGTGCAAATATGCTCGAAGAGATCAGATCGGAGAGGTAGATTAAGGACCCGAGATCGACCCGACAATTCCATGTGTCTCTGGGCATGTCAGAGGCTGGAAAGATTTGGACGGTCTGCGCAACGCAGACAGACTTCGATTATGCAAGGCGCTTTAAACTATGTCTGCCAGACTCAGCAGCCAGTGTCTCGCAGTAACAGCCTACAAAGCTATTCTCCAACGTACCAAAGCTACGCAATGACAGAACAGCCATCCCACATAAATCGCTACAAATGACGTGCATAAACACCTGCCGAGCAGAGCTCCAATCTGCAGTCTTGGCACCGCTTAGTCACTCAAAAATCATGAATGCGCCGCTGCCGACAACCTACGTCGACAACATCACCTCGCCGCACGCCCACCTATCTCCAAACACTCCGTGATACCCATCCCGACACCTGCGCACCGAAGTCAGTACCCTGTCTTACGTCTGCGTCAGTTCCTTCACTAACCGCATAGCTCTTACAGCTTCGCGCAAGCTCTCTTCCAACCCGCACCGCACTCTTCCGAATCCCTCACACCAACCACACACGCAATGGCTCCTAAGAAGTTTGGTGGCCGTGGCCGCACTACCCAGGGCTTCGTCGGCTCGACCTGGAGCATCGTGACGGACGCCGAGAACCGCAGCCTCGTCGTGGCTGTTGGCATGTTTACTGTAAGTGGAGCACTGTCGGCACCGCGTGATACGTCATTGTCGCCAGCCTTAAGAGAGTTTTGAGTTATGTGGATGCTGATGTTTTGGGGTGATAGGCTAGCGTTGCGTTCCTGCACAGCAGCTGGAGCGAGTTCCTGCTGCCCGCGTAGATTTATTTTACGCCTGATGATCAAAAGACGAAGGAGTGCGGAAATACCGGAGCGATATTGGTCGCAAAAGACCTAGCTGGTTGAAGAGAAGAAGTCGCTGTACTATACCGAAAGAACGAAGGGGACCCGGATCCGCCGGGATTGGAAAAGATGTCATGTACACTATTGCATGTTGGCGTCTGGGATGGTCGTCTCTACACTACACTTGATGAAAAATCGATTTCGATGAGAGCAAGTCTGCCGTTCCAATGGCTGTTTGCCTTTGACTTGACAATGGCGCCTTGTATATTTTCATATCTCTGATGGTGGTTGGTAAAACAAACCCTAAAGTCTCGGGATTACATCCGCCAGACCCTCAACAGGTTCGGTTAAAGATATATGTTTTTTATTATCCCTTCTTTTGGGCGATTTCTATTAACTCTCCTCGGCAGCGTCGCCAAGTCGATGATCCACTCTACTACCGCCCGGGGGCAAACTAGCAGGTAGAAACGTCCCCGCGCCAACGTCGGCAGTTCAACGACCCGATGTATTAATATCCATCCAAGTAAAATGGCATGTATCACCATGCAAGCAAAATGGCATGCATCACCATCCAAGTAAAATGGCAGGTAGAAACTAGAATCAAAAATCGAAAGCTTGTAGCTGCCGGATGGTAATGCAAAGGATCGATGTACTGTTGGCGCGGCGACCCCCATATACACGAGCCAGTTGATTATGTAGGTTGGCTGAGTAATTACCATGAGCCGATCGTCCCTGGAATTTACTCTTTCTTACTCTTTTATATCAGCGTGCTGGCCACTACGCTTGCATATAGTCATTTGATATCGTCACTGATGAGTTCCGCACTAATTAGTTAGACTTTTCATGGTTCACCTACACCATAATCAACACATATAGCCGCTTAATGAATTCAGTAAGCAATTGCCAAGTAACCACTGCTCCTGGGCCCCACTGTCATGTTTGAATTGGCTTTACGTCCGACTAGGAATCTGCAACTGGAGTTTTGATAAAGGAAACTGCCGCAAATGCCTGTTCTGGAAAGACTGGCAACAGAAATATTGACGGAAAAACTTGCCAGTTTACCAGTCCCACTGAAAGTCTGTGGGATAAACAAAGAGCGTTTAAAGTAGTGCGTTGGTTCCCGCCGGTGCCGCCAAGACCCAAGGGTTTATGCAGGTGACAGCATCCGATGCAGCTTCCGCAGACGTCGGGCAACCGAGACTAGCAATCCGCCAGCTTAGCGGGAAGCCTAAACAGGCGCCGCGATAGCAACACCAAGAGCAAAAACCGCCCCCAAATTATGTCTTGCCATCGTACGATCAAAGCCCCTCAACAAGTCTTACCGAGGAGACCCACATCTTGGACTCGGACAAAACAGGAACTTGTTCGGAAGAGTTGACGACAGAACGGCGGACTGACGCAACCCCGTGGGGATCCCTGGCCGGTGGAACGGAATCGTGGGGGAGGGGTGTGCCAAGACTGGGGTAAGCAGAGGCAGCCTGGTATTTGGATGTGTCATCCCTAGGGGCCAACCCTGTCACACCGTCACACGCGCGGTATGAACGCCGCATCGCTGGCAGCCCCCATCTGTGGACAGAAAAGCGTACTGTCGCGCTGCTCACTGTGTGATGACCGCTTTTTGCGGCTTTCCGCTGATGTTGCGCCTGCCAAGGGCGTCGGCGTGACCGATGGCGCTCCGCTGCCGCTTGGCACCTTTTCGCGGCTGAGTTCGATGCGATAGTTCATTTTCAGGCGGCCAAGGTAAGATTGTTTCGATTTGGATATTTCCTTGCTTATTTACGCTCAATTCCATCTATCGATTCTGTGCTCCCTTCTGCCGCTTTCATTTGAGTCTGAACAACCACACTGGGCGGGGAAATGGATCGTTATGCGCAGAAGAACACCAATATTAAAACGCGGCACAGTAGATCTGGGGTAGTTAAGCGAGCCTGGGGACTCTGGGGTAATAGCTCCGACATTTCACGCTCGGGAAATACCGGTGTGGGGATGATGCTTTGTCCGTCAGTTCCTTTGTCCAGTCAAAGCTCCGTGCTAAACAATCACAGACCCGCTTTCCTATATCCAGCTGAGTTGTTGTTACATCAACTTCATGGAGGCTGGACATGGTGTTTGCTTGGCAACCGCTCTCGTGGACCAAAGGCCTAGAGCGTGGCTTCTTGGCTCTCTTGGCTAGCATTGTGCGACCACCCGATATCATGTCCCAGGGAGCAGATGGAGGGGTCGCAAGACCCATCCTGCTTGCTTCCCCGCACCGGAAAATACTATAAGATAAGATGAGTTGCACGGGATTTTCTTCAGTCATTAGCCATCAGCTCCAGCCGACTTAGAACTCTTCTTGTTATTTTTTTATACTCTTGTTCTCTCTCAAGCTCTGCCATGTCGACGCCTGAGCCAGCCGAACCATTCGCCAAGGGTACCTTTGCTACCGCCAAGCAAGCTTGGGGTGACCTCTTCCGGTGGAAGCAGAGAGTGGTCGTCACCAACGAATTCGGTGAAGAACGCACAGAATGGCAGGCTCCAGAGCCACTCAGGAACCCAATCAGCCTCTTTGCACAGCTCAGTCTCCGCGATTGGATCTTCTTCTCAGTCGGTTTCATCGCGTGGACAGCGGACGCTTTTGACTTCCATGCACTGTCTATCCAGACAAAGAAGTTGGCCGACTACTACGATGAATCCAAGACGAATGTCACGACGGCAATCACTTTGACTCTACTTCTTCGCTCGGTCGGCGCTGCTTTCTTTGGCCTTGCTGGAGACAAGTTCGGAAGGAAATGGCCCATGGTCATCAACATGATTGTGTTGGGTGTTCTGCAGATCGCTACAATCTACAGTTCAACCTTCCAGCAATTCCTTGCTGTGCGCAGTCTGTTTGGTCTTTTCATGGGCGGCGTATACGGTAATGCTATTGCCATGGCATTGGAGAACTGTCCGTAAGTACACAGTCCATCGCCAAACTGGAGCTAGGCTTACCATATAAACAGTACCAATGCAAGAGGTCTCATGAGCGGAATACTCCAACAAGGCTACTCATTCGGCTACGTCCTTGCCGCATGTGCCAACCTCGGCGTCGGCGGAGGAGTTAATACATGGAAGACAGTATTCTGGGTCGCAGCCGGCCTCAGTATCGGCGTCGGAATCATCCGCTGCTTCTTCCCCGAATCACAACAATTCATAGATGCCAAGAAAGCCGGCAAAAAGTCCACTTCTCCCGGAGCTTTCTGGAAGGAGACAAAGACCATGCTAGCCCAAGAGTGGAAGCTCTGTCTCTACTGCGTCGTGCTCATGACCTGGTTCAACTACTACAGCCACACGAGCCAGGACAGCTACACTACGTTCATGATGACGCAGAAAGAGCTGGAGAACGGACCCGCGAGCCGCGCCAGTATCTTGATGAAAGTGGGCGCTTGCGTCGGCGGGACCATCATCGGATACCTTTCCCAATTCTTCGGCCGGCGCCGCGCCATCATCGTCGCGGCCCTCATCAGTGGCTGCCTGATCCCCGCCTGGATCCTTCCAGAGGGCGAGCGCAACCTCTCCGCCACGGGCTTCTTCATGCAGTTCTTCGTCCAGGGCGCATGGGGCGTTATCCCCATCCACCTGAACGAGCTCTCGCCGCCTGCCTTCCGCTCTAGTTTCCCAGGTAAGCATCGCAGCACATTTACATCCTTACCAATGCTAACAAGACCAAGGTCTGACGTACCAGCTCGGCAACATGATTTCCTCGCCCTCTGCGCAGATCGTCAACGCCATCGCAGAGAACACAATGATCACGCTAGACAACGGCGACAAGGTCCCAGCATACGGTCCCACAATGGGCATTGCCACGGCTATCATCGCGCTTGGGATTGCCGTGACGACGGCTTTTGGGCCCGAGAAACGCGGCAGGCAGTTTGAGCTGACGAAGCCGGCTGGTGCGAATGTCATGTCCGAGAAGGAGAAGGACCTTGAGGAGGGCGACGTCCATGTTAGTCTGGACAAGGAGATTGAGAGTGGGAAACCCGGGACGGAGAGAATCGAGATCGCCAAGTAGAGGATGGGTGATGTGTGGGTGGATACTGTCTTGGTTCATAGTTTCTATACCCTTGGTTGTGGGATATTACTGTCATGTAGCTTTCAAACGTCTTCACTGTGCAGTTGCTTCTTATTGCAGGCAGCGCTTGGATGCTTAGCAGGTCTTTATCAAACAGTGAGCGTTAAGATTTCGCATCTCTTTTCAATCGATCCGAGCCTTAGGCTCCAATGGACAACACTGGGCTTCTTCCATAGAGTGTATCGGTGAGGTCACTTAAGACTCGGTCATCTATCATATCCGTCTCACTGCCATCTCAACCGTACGTACTTCCAGTTTCGCGACAACTACACCTACTATATAAACACCGATTCTGTACCGAGAGGAACGCAGCGTCTCAAGAGTGGCAACATGGCCGTTACCACCAAAGTGGAGGCCACCTGGAGTGCATGTATTGAGCACACAGTGTCTCCTGGGTGGCATCAATTACTTCATGAAACAGCCAGGCACGTCTGAGAAACTGATTCTGATTCTAGAGCGGCGGTATTCCTAGCGGCGGTGCGTAAGGAATATTCAGTGATGGTTTTGATCAGCTGTACATGCAATTGATGTGCATCAGCAGCGTTCCTTGGCAACGCAGGCCGTGATCGTTGTCAACACAGAGGTCGTACGCACTGTATGTTTCTTGCTTCGTTGCTCTCGGTGGCAGAGTGGCAGAGTAGTTTAGTTTATTTGGTTTTCGAATAGCGCGTCTTTTCCCCACTCGATGGTTTCGATTGCGGCGGTTTTTTTTTTTTTTTTTTTTTTTTTTTTTTTTTTTTTTTGAACTAGCTGCATATTGGTTACAATTAACGGTATACCATATATCCTCTAATTCACGTATGGGTTTAGATCTTGAAGACAATATTGCTGAAGGAGACGCGTAGATGGATTGTATGAGCGACAACTGAAGAGCTTAGAGGCGAAGGAGAATAAGACGTCGCTAAGAAATAAAACACCCTCCGCACCTAGTACCACCCACAAAAACCCTTTACAGAACCTCCTACCTACCTATAGACTATACACCCCCTACACCCCATCCCCACAAAAACCCCCAAGCCCCAAGCCCCAAAAACCATACACACACAAAACCCCCCTCCCCCAACCAACCCCCCAACAACAGCGGAAGTAGCCTAGTGGTTAAGGCGCTGCTCTCCCACTTCACACTTGATTAAAGTGGGTAGAGAAGCAGAAATCGCGAGGTAAGTGTCCCCCTCATGAGTTTAATGTGGTAAACGGTGGGCTGACGACTGGAGGGCTGTAGTTCGACTCTCGCCTTCCGCATTTTTTATTTATTTTTGTTTTTGGGATTTTGATTTTGGTTTTTTGGGAGGTTGGGGGTTGGGGTGCGTTTGTTGTTTGTTTGTTGGTGATTGCCTACCTGGTGACTGTGGCTGGGGCATGGGTGTGGGTATGTTTGCTGCGGGTGGCTGCATCTGCTAGGCGGCGAAGGTGCGTGTTCCCGGCGCGGTGTACCTGCCTGTTTCACTGGATACTTCTGTTCTGCTGTCCTGATGTCGTGCATTTTTATTCTTTCCTCCTCTTAGCTCGTCTGTCCTCCATCAGTCATGACCTCTTTTGCTGCTGTCTTTTAGAACCTATTGAAAGAGGTCCACCCTCACACCCGCATCAACTCAACTACTCCACCCTTGGATCGTAAAATCGAACCTTCTATCGCCGCTACCCTTTTCCACCGGCTGGCCAAATTCGTCAAACAGCGACCTCTCGATAAATGTAGTCTTCCCCTCTTTATCCACCAAGATGAGCGTCTGCTTCTGCGTCCCGTATACGCCACTCGTCGCGTCCACGGACTGCGACCCTCTCGCCGCCGCAATTTCATCGGCAGATTTGCCCTCGAGCCCTCTATCTCCAATGGGCGGGATGAGGATGCTATTCCGCAGCTGGCCCAGGTAAACGTCCCACTCCTCGCCATGTTTTTGACGCGGCATTGTGTCTATACTCAGGATGGCGAACAATCTCTCCATGAGCTCCTCCTTGGACTCACCCGCCGCAGCACTCGCTATGGCCGCCTCTGCGGTTAAACGCTCAGCTGACACGACCTTGGGCCAACTCGCGTCGCCATAGTGCGAGTTGCTCAGCGCGTGCGTCTTCCCTTTTTCATTGGCGACCCACGGTAGGCCCTGCACGTTCGGCGTGCGATTGCTAACGATGGCGAGGCCCTTGGGCATCGAGCTCTTCTCGCCAGTCTCATGCTCGACCGCGTCGCCGAGCCAGCCATACAGCAAGCTGAAGCCGCCCACGCCCTTGGTGGTGCCATGGCCGACCAGACGCGCGGCGAAGTCTTCGGAGCTCTCGCGGTCCTCCGGGGGCGCCTTGAGCCAGGCGTTCACAATGGCGCCGCGGCTGTTAACGCCCTGGATGATGGCGTTGGGGTCTTCCTCGCGGAAGTTGGTCAGACAGGCTATGCGGCCCTGGCGCGTCATTCCGAGCCAGGTGCCGTGCACGGGGCGATGCAGGTCGAAGCCGCCGAGGATGTGCTCGCACGGGCTGGGCCACCATTGCGCGGGAGCGGTGGGGCGATGCAGATATTCCTGTGCAAGGTCAGAGCGGGTGGCAAGCGGGGAGCGAGGGCATGACACACATCGCGGTTGTTGAGTAAGATGAAGGGGTAGTCGGGGTGAGCCGTAGTAACGATTGCGATGCACATGGCGGGACAAACGATCGGGGCAGGGAAAACGCTGGGAGGGCAAACGGCACTTGTATATATTTGGGGGGATGTCACGAGAAGGCGAAGGCGAAGAAGCTGTGGAGGCTAGCCGTCAGGCCGTCAGGGACCGGGCTTGGCGGGAGGAGGCGGCGATCAGCAGGACAGCCACGCGTGAGAGGCATTCGGGCGAGGAGAGAGCGAGATGAGGATGGGCGATTGGGGGGATGGGAGGGAGAGGCGGAGAGGGAGGAGAAGAGGAGGAGAGGAGAGGAGAGGAGAGGAGAGGAGAGGAGAGGAGAGGAGAGAGACAAAGGAAGAGAGAGTATAGGAGTAGGTATGAACAGCCCTACGGGAAGGCGCGGCCGGGGAAGCTTGTCTAGCGGGGCGGGGCTGTGGCTGCCTGAGTGCCTGACCCCCCCTCGGTTGCCGGCGGTCTGTCCTTTGTGATCGTCACTCGCACCTCCCCTTCTTACTGCTACTGTCTCTCTACTCTCTCTTTCTTCTTTCTCTCCCTCCTCCCTTCCTCCCTCCCTCCCAACTGGAGCTTCCCCCACTTCCTTTCGCTCATCACCGCCGCAACCATGTTCTTCGGCATTTTCAACCTACTTCCAAACCTCCTGACGTATGTCCCCGCCTCTTTCTTCCTCCCTCAACACCGCTGACTGTCTGTCTCTCTCCAGCACTTCCGTCTCCGCCCTCTTCCCTGCCTTTGCCTCTTACAAGGCCCTGCGCGCCCGCGACCCCGCACAGCTGACGCCATGGCTCATGTACTGGGTCGTCTACGCCATCGCCCAGACCGGCGAGTACTGGCTGGGTTGGGCCGTTGACTGGTTCCCCTTCTACGCCTGGATCCGCCTGGGCGCCTACTGCTACCTCGTCCTGCCCGGCATGCAGGGCGCCCCCTACCTGTACCAGACTCGCGTGCACCCCTTCCTGGCCCAACACGAGGCCGAAATCGACCGCTTTATCTCGGAAGCCCATGACAATGCCAAGCGCGCTGGCCTAAACTACCTCAACAAGGCCATCGAGTTTGTCAAGGTCAACGTCTTCGGCATGCCGCCCCGCCAGCAGCCGCCCCCGCCCCCCACCTCGACCGCCGGTTCCTACGCTCAGAGCTTGATGAGCCGCTTCAATCTGTCCCCCGAAACGCAGAACAGCCTCGCTCCCGCCGCTGGAAACCTCGTCAACCTGCTCTCGGGTGCCCTGCAAAGTGCTGCTGCCTACCAACGTGGCAACGGCAGCGGCTCGCGCGAGGCGACGGCCGAGGCGCTCGCGGCTAGCGGCGCGCTCATTCCAGAGGACATTGCCCGTCGCGGCCCCGAGGAGCGCAACGCCTACGTAGCCGCGCAGCGCGAGCATCTGCAGACGCTGCTGCACGCGTACGACCGCGAGGCGCAAGGCAACAACAGGTCGGAGGACGAACAGCAACGGGGTCGCGTCCGCGAGCAGCGCGAGCGTGAGCTCCACCTGAGCCCGCCGTACCCGGTCTCGCGCGAAGTTTCCCGCGAGCGCTCCCGCTCGGCACACCAAGCCAGCGGCAGTGGCGCTAGCGGCGCCAGCGGCGAGGGCCTCGCCAAGAGCAAGAGCGAGCTCGAGTTCGACCGCGTCGAGTACGACGAGGCGTTTGACGGAAGCGATCGCCCTGCGGGCCGGCGCGCCGTGAGCGGCGGTGGCTGGATGCCTTGGGGTTGGCGCGGACAGCAGGGCCAGGGCGGCCCCGGCCCCGCTGCCGAGGGTGGCAGCAGGAGCCATTCAGCCGACACGAGGGGGCACGCCTCGGGCACGGATGCCGGGTTCTAGAGCAGGTGGCTGCTGGGGCTAGGAGGATCGGAGCAAAGAGCAACAAGGGTGGTGCATCTGGCGTTTTCTTCGCAGGAGTGGCTCTGGCACATGGGACTGAACTGGGACTGGCGTTTTTTGTTTGCGGGAGGGGCGAATGAGAACACAGAGACTCTAAACACTGATACAACATTATAAGAAAATGCATGGGCGGCGGACGGGCAGCGGCGACGCTTCCTCGCGCTCTTAGTACGCGTAGTACTGTACCACGACTACTATCTCGCCACGGCTGACGGTGACCAGTCGTAGAGTAATACCCATCAACTAGCTATGTAGACACACATACTCACATACATAGCAAGGAGCCAACCTCAGGGCTAGGCTGACCGTCTAATGTCTCGCTCACTCACTCACCTACCTCATACACAACAACAACAACAACACCACGCACGCATAGTCAAGCAACCACCTAGTCCTCGCCACACTGTAATAGAAAGGAACCCCATGCATGTTTTGAGCCCTGGAAACCTAGTTGATCCAATCCATCCAACCCATCCGATCCAAGCCAGCCATAGCAAAACAAACGGTATAACCCCCCAAGCACCACCGCCCAAGCAACCAGAAAACCCCGAATCCAATCGAACACTCGAACACCCAGAACTGAATGAATCCCCCCTTCGAGCTCACCTCTCCCGGCCCTCGCAAGGACCAAGAACGAGAGAAAGAAAGAAGGAAAGAAAGAAAGTGAAGGAACGCAAAAACGCCCGCCAGGGCAACAACCGACCGACTGTAGGTACCGTACTGTACACACCCCACCACACACCCCACCCACCACTCCGTCAGCACCACCCTACCCACTTACTCCAGCCCACCCCGCCCACTCCCCATGCGCTCAATATTGCTCATCATGCGGCTCTTGCCGGCCTGGACCGCCGGCCGCGCCAACCCACTACCCCTACTGCCCGGCGTGCGCAGCCCGGACGGGCGCCCAATAGCACTGCTTCTGAAGTCCGGCTTGTCTGCCGCAGCAGCAGCAGCAGCATGCGCAGCACTACCACCGCTAGCGCCATGTCCACCAGCAGCGGTACTGCGCCTAAACTCATCACTGACGCTGACGCGCCTACTCCGCCTAAAATCCTCGACCGCGTCTCTCGCCCTCGCAGGCGTCGCCCCACCACCCTGATTTTGAGCGGAGCCATCGGCCACCTGCTCCGCCTGCAGCGCGAGCATCTCGTCGACAGCCGCGACCAGCTCGCCCTTCTCGCGGCGCTCGGCATCGAGTTCCTGTTTCAGGAGGGCGCGCTCGGCGCGCGCGGCCTCGAGCTCGCCCGTCAGGGACGCGAGTTGCGCCTTCTGCGACTCGAGCTCCTTGGCTTGCGCGTCCAGGCGGCGGAGATCGGCTTCTGAGGTTGTGGGGCCGATGGTCGTCGACGACATGTCTGCTTTGGTTTGTGTGGCGTCGTGCGCGGATTGCAGCGTTGTGATTTGCTTGGTGAGGTCGTCGATTTTGCGCGAGAGCTCGGTCGTCTTCTTCTCGGCTTTGGATTCGTAGGATTTTTTGAGCGCGGCGACCTTCGTTTCGTGCTTCTTTTTGTATACGACGTGGAGTTCGCGGCAGAGTGTTGCGACCTTTTCGTCGATTTGCTTCTGGACTTCCTCGGCCGTGAAGCGCGCAGCACCACCCGTGGGACCAGCAGCGTCCTTGCCAGCAGGGGCGGCAGCAGCGTCGCTGTCCGCCGCAGGCGCCATTGTGCTCTGGTCGACGAGCTTGCCCTCGGCCTCAATCGCGCGGGCCTCGAGATCCGTCGAGCGTGCCTCGGCCTCCTCGGTCCGGCGCTCGCTTTCTTCCAGCTTGCGCAACAGCTCCTCGCGCTCTTTCTCGTTGCCAATCACCTCCTCGCGGATACTGCGCAGTACCTCTTCAACCTCAATTCCGCGCTTCTCCCACTCGGCCTTCTCGCGCTCGGCGTGCTCTCGTCGGCTCACCTCGTCACGCACCTGCTCCTGCGACTCGCCGACACGGCGCTCTGCGTCTGCGACCGCTTTCTTCAAGCTCTCTACCTCGGCGGCGCGGCCGCTAAGCGTGGCCGTCAAAGATGAAATCTGAGACTGGTATGATGACTTGACGGACTCGAGTTCACGGACCGTGATCGTGGGGACCGAGCGCGGCGTGGGCGCGGGCGGGAGGTCGAAGTCTAGCAGATTGAGCAGGTTGCTCTCACGGCGGCCGGCCCGGGGCGTGGCGGGCGTCGCGCTGGACTTTCGCGGAGAGCGCTGCTCGTTCAAGTATGAGCGGAGGTTGGATTCCGTGGTCGATTTCGTGGGTGAGTTCCGCTTGCTCGGCGAGCGGCGCGACGACGCCGCGAACGTGTCCATTTGCTGCGTGAAGTCGAGCAGAAGATTTGTGGTGTCGTTGTCAACCATGGGGGTCTTGTGGCGCCGCGGAGTCGGCGACGGCGAGCGGTCGTGGTCGTTGTAGTCGCGCTTGCGGGCCGTGCCGGGAGTTCGTGGTGTTCTGCGCGGTGTGCGTGCCTGGATTGTGTCAACATACGCACTCATTAAACTTTCGGTTCACTTACGTCAGAGAACAACTGTTTGGCCGGACTCCTGTTACCGAGCTTCGCGAACATGGTCATGTCCGTGTTCGGAATCTCAGAGAAATTGCTGAAGCAAGTATCGTCGACGTTTGTCTCCTCAACCTTCTCGTCCACCACATCCAGCGTCTCCGCAGCAGGCTGGTAGTATGAGATATCGCCAAAGGTAGCGTCGGCCAGTTTGTCTTGCTCCATAGCATCGATGGCTATCGTCAAGCCTTCGTTGTCGCGGAGGGTGGGTTCAGAAGGCGCGGGCGTACCCTCAACAGCAGACGATTTGCTGGGGGAGCGGTTCTTGCGGGAGGTCTTAATTGGAGATAGAGCTTCGGCTGGGGTCTTTGCTGGAGTCTCCGCAGTTTGTTCCTTCTCTGCGAACTTCCACACATCTTTGAGCGGGCTGCATTGCTCGACCGAAGGCTTCATGGGAGATACATTCTCCTGGTCAATCATTGAGACGAACGGAGAGCTAGGCGGGTCATCGTCGTAGGTGATTTCATCGTTGTCGTCCATGTTTATAAGCGGCGACTTGGGCGATCCCCGATGTGACAGGCTACCCGGATTGCGGTGTGCGGTTGAAGGCGTTTTGGCATTGAGAGAAGCCGAAGGAATCGGCGACAATGGTGTCGACATGGTGGCGACGCAGCAGTAGTTCTGAATGGAAGAGCGTTGCTGGTTGGAAAGTTGCGTCAAATGTTATGCTTTGACGCTGAAGTAAACAAACGGAGCCGGTGATTTTCCGACATGACTCGCGCTGCCGAGCAACCACGACCGTAAGGGGAAAGTATCTTTTGAACATGACTTTTGTCTACGTGGTCGGTCGGATGATCTAGGACAGCGTGACCTCTTCTCGTCGTACGTGGTCGTCAGGTCGATTGCCTTGAAAAAACTACATTATAGTGGTATTTATTCGAAGAATGTGACCTTGATGTATGAAAGCACTTGGAACTGCAAGCCAATATATCGCGATCGTAAACATCCAATCAACTGACGGGGAACAACAGCCCATGCCCCCTCCAACATCATCCTATTCGTCCATGTCTTAGAACAGTTTGCTGCAAGAACATCTTGGTTAATCGCAACGTCATTGTACTTTAACCCGGTAGAGACCACGATACCAGTGCAACGTGCCGCCGCCCGCATGTGAACCGTGGGTGGCGACTATCACCCTCCATCGAACAACTTCAAACGTAGCGGAACCCCGGAAGCCACGGGGAAGGCGGATGTGGCCGTGCGCGAGACAGTCTCTCGGGACAGGTCGATTGGAGCTATTAGCCGGGGAACTAGAGGGCTTCGGGCGCTATAGATAGCCACCAACACCCCTCAGCAACAACTTCGAACGTAGCGGAACATCGGGAACTCCGGGGAAGACGGGATCTGGCCGTGCGTGGTAATAGTTTTTGGGGGCCAGGTCAGTGCTTGAGGTGTACACATCAGATCGGCCGGGGAACTAGAGACATCGGGGCGATGGGATCGGTGCCGACGGCCCTTGCGGGTAAGGAGGTCTTTTGGTCTTACGCCCGGTAGAGCTTAGTCTGCCTATACGTGTGTTTGTTTTATGGGTGGTACCGTTGTACCCGTTGGGCTTGCATATGTTGCGAGACAGGGCTCACCCGGTCGTGTAGGTCTTCAGCGTGCCGTTGTGAGACCTACGGCAAACGCAAACGTCAGCTGGGCATCAATGCGGCCAAGCTCAATCGAAGTGACCTGGTTTTCAGCGCGAAGTGTCCTCGACGCCAAAGTAAACTGGTTGCCCCCGCCAACCGCTACATGTGAGATTACGTGTGGAGCTGCATGCAATCGCAAACCGTCTGCGATCAAATTGACCAGGCCCCGCGTCAACCCCGAACCAGTATTCTGCCCACCTCCGCATCTTATCCGATTGGCTTGGACTGGCTCACGGAGCTTTTACCATAATAGCATTCAGCTCCAGCTTCCTTCCGACTACAAAGAACGAGTGGATTGCAGAGCGCGATGTTCGCTTCCTTGTCAAGAGGTCATTTGTCGCAAGTTACGGCGAGAAAAAGTATCAAGAGATCGACATTGACGAAGCGCTCAATTTAAGATGTACCGACTCTCACTGTTGACACAACCACCACCCGCTCTCGCATTCTTGCGTTCGCCGTACCAGCTCAAAGGATCCCTTGCTCTTGGTTTCCTTGCATACACCATTTTTTGGTGTAGCCATGGGACGTATGCAAGTAAGGGCCTCTCGTAGTTGGAGCTGACTTGGGACGGACTCTTTTGAACCGCTCTCTTTCCAGGGAAGGTGGTCTTCGTGAGACTAGAATTTCGCGACCGAAATGGGTAGTGAGGCTTGGTTGGTGATGATCATGGCTTGCTCAGCATCTGGAGGAGAGAGTTTGTTGAACGCGAACAGGACGACCAAAGAAGATGGCTAGTTTTCTCGTGCTCTAGGGGCCCCATGTCCTCACAGGATCATAGCTGTTCTCCTCCTAGGTTTAACTCTCTGGAAAGCGTGATTCATCTTTGCTTTGGCGGCTCCGGTCCTTGAACCAAGGCCTTGTCGAGCGCCAAAACGCTTTATTCTGGATTTGAGTTTTGCCTTCTGGATGGCGATGGCGGGGGCTTTGACATGTGCAGAGGGCGCCTGGCGGGGCATGGCTTGTAGGCGGCGGACAGTGGTCTAGGCATGTCAGCTCGGGCACGCGCGAACTCCACCAAGCTTACTGCTACTGTTCAGCGAAGGTGGTGAGCTAGTTGGGGCGCGACAGAGGACAACAGGAAGGCTGGTTAGCAATGGCGACTGTGTGGATGCAGAGTAGACGGTTAGTAGGGAAGCAGATGAGGCGGTGGGAAGTAAAAGAGAGAGAGCGACTTTGTGGAACTTGGAAGGGGCAGTCGATGAGCTCAGAAAGATCGCCGCCGTCCCCACCAAGAAGTTCGCGCCGACATTTCACCTGCGCCCTCACGCCCTCTCACCCTACCCGTTCACCACCAAACCCACTCTTAGTCCCCGGCGCTCCAGGATAATTGGTCGGCCATCCACTTTCACAATTACTCCTGGAGACGCTACCCGGCCTTGCGACCTTGACGGCACTCCTCCACCATGGCTCCGTATACCGCAGAGTCAGCCCGTTCCACTCGCGCAAAGCCCAACGCGCCCGCGCCCGTTGTGCCGCGCATCGTCCCAGCCATCCCGCTGTCCTTTGCGCGATCCAACAAGGTCAAGCACCAGCAGCCGCTCGCCGAGCACTCCACGCCCGCCGACGCGCAGCCCGAGCCCAGCCAACATGAGGCCGTCCAAGCCAGCGAGCGCGAACAGCCAGCGCCTCCCGCGCAGCCTGAGACGGCGCAAGAGCCACCATCGTCTGATCGAGACAAAGAACAAGGCAGACCTAGCGACGCGACCGCTGGTGTAACCGTTGAGACGGAACCCATCCCGGCGCCTGCTCAAGGTGCGCAAACACAATTTCCATTTGCTCACAACACTGCTGACAGTGCTCCAGGCACCGACCAGGCCGCTGCTGAGCGCGAGCAGAGCCAGGCTCCGTCGCAAGACCCTGCTCAACCGCCTTTGCAGCCTGCAAGCTCCATTCGTCCGCAGAAGCCGCCTTTCGAGCTCCCACCGCCCTTCTACCCTTCCACCGACCGCTCAACTCCTACCTCCGCTACTTCCTCCACCTTCGCCCGCCCTCCGCCTCCGAACATCACAATGCATAACCCTCGGCCTAGCACGAACAGCATCGTTTTTGGTGGTTATCCGGACTCTTCATGCACCTCTCCAGCTCCCCCCATCACCAACGGTCATATGCCCTACCCACCACCACCTCCGCCTCCGCCGCCAGGCTTCATGGGAGCAAACTTTATCCCCCCGCCAATGCCGTTCCAGGGACACAATCACCACTTCTCGGAGCCTCATGCGGGAATGATGTACCCTACCATGGCTGTGCCTCCTCCGGGAAATTTTGGATTTAGGAGGGACCAGTCCCTTCCATTCAGGCCGGGACAGCAGTGGATTCCTCCCAATGGACCACCCCAGCAACGCTTGGGCGGCCCAGAGCCCTTCCCGGCTCACCAGGTTCCGCCCCATGTCAACGGCGTCCACCCGTTGTCTAGGTCGGCTTCGCAGGCCTCTTCACCGAGGGTTGCTGTGCCAGAAGAAGAAATCGATGGTGCTGGAGTGAGGTTGCCAGTGGCTCCGATGGCTAATGGTGTTCACCTCGGAAAACCTTCCGCCTTCGTTCCGCGGGATCAAGAGCTCGGCTTGAGGGACTACCTTCGTTCTCAGTTTGGCAATCCCGACTTCGCAGACTACGTTCTCAAACTCTACCAAGGCGAAAACCGCAACCTTCTGCCTCCTGTCTTGCCAGTACATGGCCTAGTTGTTGCTCGCAACCCCAGAATGTCTTCTCTCCTTGCCTCAGCGGCCTCTGCTCGTTTTGAGGGGAGGATGCGCGTTCTGGACGTTTTTGTTTCCGACCGTTTCTTCGATGGACACATCTTTGCTGAGGCTCTGAAGCACCTCTACGGTGAGGATTTGCTGAACACCGCGAGCTTCACTAATGGCCTTCACCCCTTCACTGGATACCTGTCTGACTCTGATGGATTTGGTTCTCCGCAGCAGCGCATGAGACACGCTCTTGCGTACGCCGCTGCCGGCTATTTCCTCGAAATCCGCAGCATCGTTGCCCGAGGATTGGACATTGCCACTGAGCTTCTGCGATGGGATACTCTGGAGATCGCTCTCTCTTTCGCTATGGACGGGGGTCTCGATGCATCCTGGCGCGCGGATGACGACAAGTCCAGTGCTACTTCGAGTGACGATGCATCCTCAAAGTTCGACACGGATTCTTTGCCGACTTACGGCACCTACAGCACACAGTTCCTCCAGACCATCGTTGGCTTCCTCGTTCACAATTTCCCGGTTGACTATGAATTTGACCCCTCTGCGCCGCACTTGCCCAGCATGCCCCGTTTGCCCCCACTCCCAGAGTCGCGCCCTACGAGCCGGAACCCTCGCCTCAGCCAGATCCGGTTTGGACAGGTACCCGAGCAATCCGGCACTTCGCGCTACGTCATCAGCCTGCTATCGAGCATCTTCCTCTCGCTTCCCTTCCCTATTCTCAAGGCCCTGCTTGAGGATTATGTGCTCAGCAGCCGACTGAGTAGGGCGAGGATCGCTCAGATCGCACAGTCCGTAGTCGAAGAGCGCGAGATCCGGCGCCGGAAGATCTGGAAGATCCAGATGACGCACCCGAACGCATTCGAGAGAGACGATGCGCTGCGGCACAACCTGTTGTGGACGGAGCGCGTGGAGCGCGTGGAGCCCTCGCAGCAAGCCTTGGGCGGCTTCCGTTTGGCGCGCTCGCACCAAGGCATTGATACCCCTGCGTCGACTTTGTCGAACAAGAGCAGTGAGCGCGTCGGCTGATGATAACCTTTGCAACACACACACTCACACACACACGCACACCCATGTCGATGATTTGCTGGCATATTTGAGGGGGAGAAAAAAAGGTTTGATGGCATCTGCATAGCGAGCGGCAGGCGTCTAGGCACTTTTGCTTTTGTTTCGTCTCCACATCATCTTCGTTGACCGTTTTTCATTTTTTGCTCTCTGGTCAAAAAGAGGGCCGCTCAGTAGTAGTAGCTTGGGTTTTTTTTTTTTTTTTTTTTTTTTTTTTTTTTTTTTTTTTTTTTTTTTTTTTTTTTTTTTTCTATTTTTTCCCCTTTTTCTTCTTTGCATGTAATGGAGAGGCGATACTCTCTCGAGGATACTGGCTTCTTCTGTTTACTCTTCATCTTCCTCTACTTCCGCTTCTCCTTCTTCTCACAAATACGACTAAAACAGAACAATCCCTCGGCCAGCCTGGAAGCGTGATTTCTTTCATTTGTTGGATGGATGGGTGGGTGGGTGAATGGGCGGATGGATAGGTGGGCGGACAGGGGTTTGATGAGAGAACGGCGGTACAGGAAAATGGTGCGGGGCGGTTTGGGACGATGGGACGAAGGGAAAAGGAGAATGAAGGAATGGTTTCGATGGTTCGGTTTTTTTTTTTTTTTTTTTTTTTTTGCTTGCTTGGATGAATGAAAAACAGGCGGGCGGGGGGTTTATCTCTCACAGTCATTCCCCAAATATGTTCCCTTTTCCCGATTTTCTTTTTTGCAATTGGTTTGGGACTGCATGGATGAAGCGAAGCGAAGCGAAGCGAAGCGAAACGGGGATGAAGACGAGTCAAAAAGTGCGTTATTACTGCCGGTAGTGGCAGTGGTGGGGTTTATGGCAGAGGTAAGGGCATAGGACAGGGGTATGGGCGCTCTTTGCAGCTGTTCTTGGTGAAAGGGACGGAAAGCAGAAATACACAAAAAATGGCGACAGGCGTTGGAGTGGAGTCGGAGTCAAAGTCGGAGTCAGAGTAGGAGTCAGAGTGAGTCAGAGCTGAACGAGGAGCAGAAAAAGCAAACAAAATATGCATGGTGCATGGTAGCACGCGTTTGATGACTGGATGAACGAATGAACGGATTGATGGGCGGACGGACCGGCGTATAAAATGGTGTATGCGTTTTGTTTGTATATGTAGGGGGCATATTGAGTGGAGGTTTTGGGAGCGTTTGTTCGACTTCGGAGTTGATAATAAAGGTGCGGTTTGCTAGGTGAGGTAAGAGGTGGTGGACGTGGTTCGCGGAACTGGGTGCGGAGAGCCGCCGCGCTGAGTCAGCTGCTTAGATATACACACTGGCGGCTTTGCTTACGGCGGGGAGGGCTGGGCTTGGCGTGGTTGCATATGTGTGTGCTCTGGGTTAGGGGAGAGTGCTTAGGCGTGCCGGCGTGCTGGGTGTGTTTAGTGATGGTGGTGAGTTTGTACTGTAGTCGAGCTGGCTGGTGATATAACCAACCAAGCAAACCACAGCAAAATTAACAAAAAACACTACAGGAGCAAGACACGGAGATAGCGAGGATATAACATCCTTAGCCTATCGTACGCTCTTCGGTAGTGTCAGTGTTTCGAAGCAGGACAGGGGTAGCCGAGACACGGGCCGGCAAATCGGCTCGGGGCTTATCCAGGGTCGCTTTGATGAGCGGGTCAACTGCCGAGACGGGGGAGGATAGAGCGATGGTGGTGTCACACACAATGGGTCGATATGGCAGGGATATTTCGTGATTTTACAATTTCTTCCGCTCATTCTTCCAATTTTTTTGCAGACCTTCACTTTCGTCTGTCTGTCTTATTCATTCGTTTTTGTCTGCTGGTTTTTTGCTCGGCTGCTCGGCTGCCGCGATCCTTCCCGCTCCTGGTCCCGTGGTCTCTTCTTCGCCTAGTACTTAACCCGGTTAGGGCGCCGCCACCGCAGGGATCATCATCGCTGCTGCTGCTTACACTACTTAACCAACGGCGCGACACTCGGGGACCCAAAAAACATCACTGCGGCTTTTGTATCGAGGCATTGAACTGGACAACGCGATGGTTGCACCGCGCGAGGGCGACGATATCGAGGCGTCGCGCGTGAGCTTGTCGTCAGCGACGTTTACGGATGTGGACGCGGACGCGGGGTCTGAGAAACGACGGGGAGGCGTCAAGGATGAGGAAAAGGCCGTTGCGGTTTCGGCGGGGGAGCAAGAGCTAGGGTCGCAGCAACAGCCTGCTGGGAAAGAAGCTGGGCATTCGGTGAACGATGTTAGCGCGGTGCCGAATGGTGGTACGAAGGCTTGGTTGCAGGTCTTGGGGGCTTTCTTTTTGTTTTTTAATAGCTGGTAAGGACGACGGCTTGGGCGTGTTTGCTTTACTGCATGCATGCAGTAGCACGCGATTTTCCGCCCCTCTCATCGCCATTATTACGATACTGGACACTGACAACTCGTGATGTAGGGGCATCACCAATACGTTCGGCACTTACCAAACGTACTACAAGACTGGGCTGCTCGCCTCTTCAACCCCATCCGCCATCTCATGGATAGGCTCGATTCAAGCCTTTCTGCTCATGCTGGTCGGCGCGCTGACCGGACCCATCTACGATGCGGGCTACTTCCGACACCTATTAGTGGTGGGATCGTTTCTCATCGTCTTCGGTCTGATGATGCTGTCCCTGTGCACCGTGTACTGGCAAGTGCTTCTCGCACAGGCGTTCTGCGTCGGCATTGGAACTGGGTGTTTGTTTGTGCCCAGTGTTGCGATTCTGAGCACGTATTTCACGACAAGGCTGGCCACGGCGATGGGATTGGCAGCTTCGGGGAGCAGCCTTGGTGAGTGCTTCCTCCTTTCCCGTAAGTGTATGATCTATACTAATTCAGTACCCAGGCGGCGTCCTTTACCCCATCATCCTGCACCGCCTCATCGGCCGAATCGGCTTCCCCTGGACCACTCGCGTCATCGCATTTATAGCGCTCGCAACACTTCTAATCCCCAACCTCTGCATGCGGGTACGCGTGCTCCCCTCCTCACGGCGCGCAATGCTAGACCTGCCCGCCTGGCGCGAACCACCATACACGCTCTTCGTGCTCGGCGGCATCGTCGGCTTCCTCGGGCTCTACACGCCCTTCTTCTACATCTCGTCGTACGCGACCTCGCGCGACATTGTCTCGCCCGACCTCGCGTTCTACATCCTCGCCATCCTCAACGCCGCCTCCTGCGCCGGCCGTATCGTGCCCAACGTGCTGGCGGACAGAACCGGACCTTTCAACATCATCGTCCCTTGCGCTGCTATCACCGGCACCCTCACATTGTGCCTAATCCCTGTTACGCATACCGCGCCGCTCATCGTCGTCGCGATCTTGTATGGCTTTTTCAGCGGCACGTTTGTCTCGCTGCCCCCGACTGTGCTGGTGCATTTGGCGCCGGAGCGCTCGAAGATCGGCACTAGGATGGGGATGGCGTTTGCGGCGATTGCGTGCGGCATTTTGGTTGGCACGCCCGTCGCTGGTGTAATTTTGAATGCTGTGGGGTTTAAGTACGTCTGGGTTTTTGGCGGTGTTACGACGATTGCTGGTTCTTGCTTTATGTTTGCGGCGAGGGGGTTGAAGCATGGGTGGAAGTTGAAGCAATGGGCTTGAGTGGGTTTTGTACTCGTCTTTTTTTTTTTAGCATGGCGTGACTGGCTGGGGATCTAGTCGTGGTATTTGTAGTGCGAGATACTGCTGCCGCATTTTTTTTTAAAAAAAGAAAGGAGGATTGGAATGTCTAAAACATATATTCATGTAAGCTGCATGTACTAATAAATGCTACGTAGCATTAGTATTTACTTTTCGCAGCTGCTGCATATAAGATCCTCCTATTGACACTGTAGATAACAGTACACACGCCTTCCTCATCAACTCACCACCGCGCTGTTGAGATTTCATAATGGCCGTAAAACTACATAGATCTACTAAGAATCGAGCTTTTCATAGTGTTAAGTAAACAGTGATCAATCTGCCCCCAACAACGCTTCCACACGTAGAGTTTTTCCCACTCCATCATTTCACCTTCGACATCAACCGGGCAACCCCTTCCGGGGACTCTCTCCACTGTTCATCTTCATCAAGCAGCGCCTCGCGCTCCTCCTCCCAGATCCTGCGAACAAGCGCAACCTTCTTCTCACTCCTCGGCTTAACAGTAACCCTAAACGGGTTAATAGTAGCCACGGCGCCAGGCCTAAGGTCATTCGTATCCACCGGGACCTCATTGCCATCAGCATCCCTAGCCTTCGAGATCTCAAACGCCCAAAGCACGTGCGACATAACAAGGAACAGACTGCGCTCAGCAAGGTACTGTCCAGGGCAGATCCTGCGCCCGGCGCCAAACGCAAAGTGTTCAGATTTTGCGCCGAGCGAGTCTTCGGCCGCGGTTTCGAGCTTGCCTTCCCAGCGCTCGGGAAGAAAATCCTGCGGTGAGGGGTACACGTCTGCATCTTTGTGGATCGCGTAAGTGTTCAGGATCAGCCCGGTTCCGGCTGGGATTTCCCATTCGTTGTACTCGACTGGTGCGGTTGTTGCGTGGAAGAGGCCGAGAGGCGCGACAGTGAGCCACCGTTCGGTTCTGCTAATGTGTTAGTTTGGGTTGCTGTGAAAGACTGTCTGGTTGCGCACTCTTGTACTACTTGCCGCACATAGGGCAGGTTTTCTCCGTCTTCTTCCCGGGGTAGACGGTTGGGACCAACTACTCTGTCGATTTCTTTATGGTATGTCAGTTCAAGCTCAGTTTTTTGAGTACAAGATTACACCACTTACCTTCTCTAGCCTTACGCTGCGCTTCTGGATAGTTCGCCATAGCCGCGAACCAATTGACGAGAGAAGCAGCAGTAGTATCAGTGGCTGCCGTCAACAGAGCCATTCCTATCTCCGCCCCTTCTGCCTCGCTCAATATACCAGGGTTCTGTCTCACTTTCTCCTGAATAGATTGATTAAACGACGGCAATACCATACCCTCAGCGACGCGTTGCTTCGTGAGGTTATACAAACGCATGACGAGGCTTTTGTGGTATTTGCCAACCTTACGTGCTTTATTCAGGACGGGGATGAGAAAATTCGGCAGCTTGAAAAGCATGGGGTACGAGGGAAGCCACCAGGCTTTCAGCGTAAGCTGGACCCAGTCCTGAAGGTCTTCTATCACCTCAGAAATCAACGGATTGTCGGACGCTGGTACCCGGTGGCCGTTGGTCATGGTCATTGCTATGGAGTTACTGAAGCGCTCGATATGGTTCCGCCAGTGGTTCGCGTCTTCTAAAACGTCAAAGAGCAGTTTCTTGGCTTCCAGGTCTTGGTATGGCAGGTATTGCTTGGATGCCCCGACGGTCAAAATTGACTGCCACATCTTGCGCGCTTTCAACCAGTCGGCTCCGCTCATCAGCGACGGGAAATAGCCTCCTCGCAAGATGAGATTCAAGCGGGGATCTGGTCGCGCTGCTGTACGCAATCCGTTCTTGACGAAAATGTGGTGCGCGGCTTTTGCTTCGTTGACCACGACGTATGGCTCAGAACCGCTCATGATCGTAAAGACCGGGCCGTATTCTTTAGACCATTCACGGTACTGTTTTTGCGGTATTACATTGGAGAGCTGCGGAACTTGTTAGCTATACGACTTATGCTTCCGACAGCTCTGGTATTTACCTGCTTCAAATTGCCCCAGATAGGGGATGTAGGGGGGCCGGGAGGAAGGTTAGAAGGCCGAGATCCGATTTTCAAGAGCCGATGGATTAGATATGTTAGGCTTCCGATGATAAAGGATGAGATAACGTAGAGGGTAATCGGTGCGTTTTCGCTCTTCATGATCGGTAACAGGCGGAAAATGCAATGGGACGGGGTGTCAGTGTTATTCGATCGGTGATGCAAGATTTTTCGGGGCAGAAAGGGTGTATAAATATTCAAAATCCGAAAGAGTTCTGCCGGAGCAGGGATTCATTCTATGTGAGTTTCCCTTGCCTTTGCCTAGACTTGAAAAGCAAGCGGGGATGAATGATGGGACAAGGATGAAGTGGTCTTTTTTTTTTTTTTTTTGTGCTTTTTTCAATCACTCTATAAATTCCCTTGAATTTAATCCACACGTCTTCGAGATAAGTGGGGTAAAGAGCAAGAGGTTGCTTCGTTTAGCAAAAGGTCGAGGGATCGAGACAGGGAAGATTGACAAAATCCCGTCTTGGATTAGCTATCATACGTGGTGTGCCAATGAAATTGACTAATGCATGAACAGTGCATTAAGCAGTTTTTATAGGTCGCAAGCATTGCCGATTCAATAACTGCTTCGTAAGCGTTGCCAGGGTTACCGGGTAAACGATCAGCATATAGTGGGGAGATCAACGTTTGTCGTACCTGTTCAACGCCCTGACGCCCAATCATAGATGTTTCAAATGGCATGATACTTCTGTCGCTAGACTATTGCCGAGGTAGCTGCAACTGCAACAACCAGTCTAGCAGCTGGATGGAATCCCTGGACTGTTGTTGAGAGGTAACGTCCATCACCGTAAAGCGAGATGGTGATACATGTACGGAGTAGAAAGAAGAGACCCAGCTACGATATGTAGATAAGACCTTTGCACCCATACCCAGGACTCGGGCTGTAGGCTAGACAAGAAGTACTCTATAGGGACTGCTTGTATCGTCCCCTGTCTCGCTAGACGGTGGATCTCGGTTCGCCGTCACGGACGTTAACGTCGTCACTGAGTACAAATCGGGGGAAAGATTGAAAAGGCTCGGGCCGCTCAAGGATTGCTTCTAATAGTATCCTCGTTCACCCATATCAGTACCAAATCGAGGCCCGCGCGACACACTCTAATGGGCCGAGTTCGCTCAACGGTGAAATTCTGATCAGTGAGGAACGTCAACAGAGTTTTAAACAAATAATCTCCATTTAGGTATGTATAAACAATGCAGATACGAGGTAAGCGAGCTGTACCTAGCGATAATCAGATATATAACTTGAAACAGTTTAGTTAAATCTATTACGCGTGTTTCGCAGGCACTTTCGCAATAGACATCTCTTTTCCCGATGTCTCGTTATGAATCGCATGCTGCACGTCATTACTTATATACGGTTAATGCGAATCTTAATTGAGTATTCTTAGGTCCTGGGGAATCCACGTGCACCGGTGATTTAATATTTAACTTCGATTTCTTCGCCCCGACCAGTGCAGCATATCTACTTCGCAAAGGATAGATCTACTGATATAGAAAAGCTCTAAGTGGGATGCTATCTCTACTGTTTCTCGGTAAATTCGTCGCTCCGGGTGTACCTTTCCCTAACGAGAAGGCATAAAATGTGCATACAATCTAAGCAGCTTATTATTTTTCTAGTACATGAGACTAGGTATCTGTATCTTTTCGTCGATATAACGTTGTTCTTTGAGAATATAAGTAAATTTAAGACGGGTCTGGTAGTTATAGAAGGCTAAATATATATATAGTAATATAAATCCTTCATGAGGTTTTAGGGGCCTGCTTCTATGCAGTAGGAAATTATTTTTCGTTTTACAATTTACTGTACCTTGATCAAGTGAACTTTGTATCACTCAGCTAAATTCTTATTAGTATGAAGTCGAGATCTGGGAATATACTTTCTACTATTAAATAAAAGTTCCGTTTGCTTCGATGCAAAAGCTACACGTATCGTACCTAATCGGTGTCGGCATCTCCGAAGCACTTACTTGTTTAGAGTTTCTGTGCAGCCGGTCAAAGGGTTACTCAGCGGCACAAACTTAATCCCTGAACGTGGCAGCAGGCCAGTTTGAAGATTGTGGCTTTGCAGCATTGCTTTTTAACACTCTAACGCTAAACCCTGCTAGTGGGGCTGCTGCCCACAATTGACCGGGGCAAGGCGTTTTCGCACCTCTGCACGTGTGATGCTTGCGAAGATCAATACGGAGAATTTGTTGGCTCAATGGTTTAAATATTCCATTCCCTCGAGTGCCTTAAGAAGCCCAATCTTCGACTGCATCTCATAATCCAATTGTTCCAGAGTATCGTGTCTATCCAATCCGTCCGGCTCAAGCCAAATACCTCTTAGTATAAAACTATCTTTTCCACCACAAGCTCAAATTCCAATGGACACGTCCGTATCACCTAAAGAGGAGAATTCCTCAGCAGCATCCCGAAAAACCATCATGGATCCCGATGAGGTTCGCAGCAGCGACGACAAGTTTACATCAATAACACCGCGGCCGTGCGAAAGTTCACGAGAAACAAGAAATGTGGATTTAGACTCTGTTGGCACCTGGGCCGATGTTCCGAGCGGGATAGAGAATGCTGCATTGGAATTATAAGTTTAACTGATATGAAATTCTGTACTTTTATTCGGTAAGCCATTGATTGTGTGCTAGGGACTTTAAGACCACATACTAATTCAGTGTTGATAGAGCGTTAGCATGTGTGTGCTTTGGATCTACCAGCATGCTTTGAGCAATGGCGAACAGGAACCTGCTTATGTTTTCATATTCTTTTGGGTTGGCGTTTGGTATACAAGGGTTCGGTCTTCGGCATCTTTAAACGATGCTCTTGAAAGGCAATATGCAGCCCAAGTTCGCTGATCTGGATTTTTGGATGGAACGAAAAGCCATGCAGTCAACAATATACATGATTGTGAAAGCAACAGGGACCCGAAAGCTTCTTAGATCTCTGTCGCTCTCATCGTTTCCTGCAATGCCTGAATACTACGTCAGTAGGGCGGTGCTTCAGGATGTTTACATCATTTGTGCAGGGGTATGAACACAGCCTCGTTCTAGGCAGTTTGCTGTGCCGCTCGAGCTCGAGCGCTTACCCCGGCTTGTTGCCCACCATTGGGCACCGCCTTAAATTTGAGGCTCTTTTAGATGTCTACCCGTCCTCACGTAAGTCAGTTGAGAGCGGAAATTTTCCAGCTCCCGGCTCTGCACGGATCTTAAACACTGCATAAATTCCCTTTACTGCTTGTTGTAATAATTAGAAGGGCTGTTCCATCACCGCGGTCACTTAAGTTTCTACAAGCAATCAGTGGTTCCATTGGTATTTATATGAATAAAATTGGTCATGTTTTTATTCCGTCCAGTGTAAATTGCGTCTTCAAGCATTCAAACACTCCGTATGATGGACAAGGATTGAGAGCGGTGTGATTCTTGGCCTCTGGCAACATCCATGTCGGCATAGTTTCAAGTGCCGGCCCAAAATCTGGAGCCGGGCATGTTATGCCTAGCCTTGTGAGGCTGATTTTGACCAAGCCATTGGGCAATTTCCAAATACGGTAATCTATCCTGCCGATCACTGCACCTCACCGAATTAGGTACAAACAAATGCCGCCGGAATCTCGGATGCTGTGAAGCCACATGGGAAGCCAAGAATTTGATATTGCATCTCTTGGTGATCATCTAACAGACCCTCGTTTATCGTACCGATGCTCGCGGCGTGCCCGACGGAGCGTCCGATGGCGTGGAGACGGGAGACATGGGGCGGTACGCCACGTGGAGAAAAATAGCGCAAGCATTTTGAGCCTCACGTCTGATAGACGCTCAGAGAAGAGCAGCTTCTTAAACGGTCGATACTAATTAGCTGATTTCTTCCTGTAATACTTACTAAACCTGCAGTTCTCTTAAATTTTTAACCACTGTTATTCAACATTCCTTCTCTTCATCTTTTTAGCCAGTGCGCTTAAGTGAGCCAAGTTAAGTTTCTCTACATTGCTAAGACTTGAATGTCCGGTTTGGGCTTTTTGCTCTCGAACAAACTGATTTAAGCCAATCATAACAAAAGTTAATGTATGGCTTGCCAAAGGTAATGATAGTCTTCTAATCTCAAAAATTTGTTTGCCGACAAGCACTAAGGTTAATCATGCACGTTTTATCTCCAAAAAGGAAGACCAGCGGCCTCTAGGTATGTCATCCGATTCTCATTGCATAACGTAACAGATACTGCTGAGCTTATGGGCGCGACACAGGAAAGACTGATCACTCCGCCCTCCAGCCCGTTATAAGAGCAAGCCAAGCCGATTACAACTTCAAAGTAATACTCGCAGCCTCTGGGTGCTATGTATTTAGAGAGGAAACCGCGAATTGCCGGTCCGGGTATATATCCCGCGGCGCTGGCGGCCAAGTAGCGACAACAACTTATACCAGGATTCACATTTCGCGGGATTTCTCCTGAACCAAACGTGTATCCGCCAACTGGCGGCCCATACCATAACACTGGGGAACTTTATCAGCAGCGCTACTTGTTGATGTACACCCACTGGCTTACCCAATGATGATGAACATCACTCAGTGTAAAACCACATCGTCGCCACAGGAAGTCCCTATACAAGTGATCAAGCTAACCAAATGAATGATTCGAAGTTGTCGATATCGCCACACGCAGGTTTATACCTGCTTCACACCAAGAATGAATATAAGCGCGATAGGTTTTGGTTGTGAACGAGCTTGGCTTGGGGAAAGAAGAGGCCTGAAAGACTTCTATTTTTAATCTAGTTATAACGATGCCACCACTGAAAAAGGACTTGTGGTTTGTTGTAATTGTTGTTGAGATTTTCCACATTGAGGACGTATATTATTCTACGGGTCGGGTCAGTAGACAGTGCGCACAATCTCAGTACTAAGTAGGAAACAAGATTAACAAAACGACCAGTCTTGTACACCGCACAGAACCCAACAAGTACACGGCGCATACACACCTTACCCCGTTAACAAAGCACTCATCCATCTACGACCAAACCCAGGAAGCCGGTCCTAAGCTCTTCAAAACCAATAAAACTACCATTTTACCCAACACCTCAAACCCACTGCACACTCGGCCTTGCAAAAGCCCGAGTACTACGAGATGATGGACTAAGCCCCGGCCGGCTGAGCTCCAACAGTCCGAAATGCCGGGGTCAAGGCAGCTTTGACAAGAAAGTCCAGCTTTTTTTGTTCCTCCAGTCGAGCTTAGTGCCAAGATGCTATTGTTGATAACCATCATCCACAATAACCGCTGCTGATGTTCACCTTTTTGTATTGCGTATACCAACCATCGTTATTGTGACTACACTAGACAGGCCGTTCACCTATGTAGACGAACTATCAGTGGCGGTTTGAGAGTTAGAGGTTTGAGGAGAGGACCCCCTACTTCATGATGAGTCTCGCGTGTTCGTATCTGGCGTGTTCGATTCACCTTTAGTTATGACCGCGCAAGTCAAGAAAATTTAAACAGATATACTCAACACACCCGCCTTCTCCTATGAACAGTAAATTCCGCTCTAAAAGACTTTAATGCAAGAACGCAATATCCCATCATCTCAATATCAAAAACCCAAACACTCCAACCCTACCATTTACAACTTCGCAACAATCTTCTCCTTCGGCCCAACAAGCGGGTCATAAACATTCATGCTCAACGTATCGCCCGGCACGCCCGTCGTGTGCATGCTCAAAGCCCTCGTATCTATTAAGCTCGGGTTAAGCTGATCAATGCTCGAGCAGCCAATAAGGCGCATATTCATCTCCATCTCATCCTTGAGCAGCTCTGCAACGACCGTTAGTGACCTACACCACAAAACAGAGCAGCACAGGAAAGCAACTTACGCATCGCGCGGTCCACACCAGGCAGGCCGTACGCCGACATGGCGTACAAGAACGGCCGACCGATGCCGACGCCCTTGGCACCTAGGCACAGCGCCTTGATGATGTCCGTGGCGCGCCGCACGCCGCCGTCAATGTACACCTCGATCTTCTTGTCCCAGCCGCGCTTACGCAGCTCGGGCATCACCTCGGCCAGTACCTCGACGCCCGAGCGCGCAAAGTCGAGCTGTCTGCCACCGTGGTTCGAGAGCACGACGCCGTGGACACCGGCCTCAACCGCCTTCAGCACGTCTTCGACGCTTTGCACGCCCTTTAGGATGATGGGCATCTTGGTGATGGAGAGGAACCAGGGGATGTCTTTCCAGGATAGGCTGGGGTCGATGAAGGAAGAGATGGCGCGCGCGGCGCCTTGCGAGCGGTCGACGTCGTCGCCTGATGAGGATTGCACGTTGGAACCGACGTCGCTGAACTTGCTGCGCATGTCCTTCTCGCGGCGGCCTAGTTGTGGCGCATCCACTGTGATGAAAAGACCCTTGCAGCCGCGTGCTTCGGCGTGTTGCACGATCTTCTTAGTGATGTCCCGGTTTTTGTTGACCTGTTGTTATTAGTTATTGAAAAACAGGCCAAATGGAATAAAGATCAATTGGCAATTGAACGAAAGAAAAACGCAATTTTTCATGTAGCCAGCGATACTCTTAAACACCAAAGGTCTGCAACATAGGAGCAAAGGGATACGAATATAATTCAGGAAACTTACATAAAGTTGCAGCCATTGCACCTGTGGTGCCTCTGCCGCGTCCATAATCTCGTCGAACGAACATGATGCAAGCGTGGGAATCATCTGAATGACATTGTGCTTCTTCGCGCCCCGCGTAAGGACTACTTCTCCTTCGGGGTTGCCGAGCTTTCCAAGAGCCGTAGCAGTTACGTAGAAGGGGATATCGACTTTCGTGCCCAACATGGTGGTAGAAAAGTCAATTTTCTCCACGTCGACGAGGATCCGTGGCCTGAACCATATCTTGTGGAAAGCAGAGTGGTTCTCGCGCAGTGTCTGCATGATTGAGTTAGAATGAGGCTCGAACAATATATTTCCGCAGCACCCGGCAGTGGCGTGAGCAGCCAAACGACAATAGTCCATACTTCTTCTCCGTCCATATAACAAAGTGGCAAAGGTGTCTTACAATCTCATCGTCGGCGCCACTGGAGTAGTATGCCCACGCCGTCTTCTTCATGACCTTCCTGGCCACTGCCTCAAAGTCCAGCAGATTGTAGCACTGCTCCAAGATGGGCATGCGCTTGATCATCTCTTGCCTCTGCTCCTCCTCCGGGTCGTCGCCCTTCTCTTCCTTCTCGACAGTGTTCATGTCGACCTCGCCCAGGTGCTTGGACTTGTCGAGGAACTTCTCGAGGGTGTCCGGAGGGTGAATGGGCTCATACTCTTCGGTGGCATCCTTGCCGGCATACTTGAGGATGATCTTGGGCCCACCGGGGTGCTCGGGCAGGAACTCGGTCACATCGTAGGCGCGGCCGTGGACGATGACCCAGCAGCTATCGCGGGAGTTGTGCTTGGCGACCTCGGCTCCATTGAGCTTGACGGCCTGGGTGTCGTTGCTGTCGCGGTTCATGGCTGGTGCAGCAGATGGTGACGAGAGTTCGGAAGAGAAGGAATCGGAGGATAAGTAGAGGGAGAGTCGGAAGAGAAGCCGGGGATAAGGATCAAAGCTGGCATGGCCATCGGGACTGCTAGCGATAGGTATGGGACACGGCTATCTCACCTCGGCTCATTGGAGACCGATCTACCCCACATTATGAGCGCACGCCCAAAGGCGAACCAGACGCGCGCATTTGTCAGTCGCGCTGGGCGGCAACACGACATTCCCGAGCACGGTGCTCCTGTAACGGCGCGCCCTGGCTTCGCGCGGCAGCCGTGGTATAAAAGGGCTTGAGGCTGATGGCAGGCAGGCAGGAGGCGCAGTCAGCCCGCCCCCAGTCTGACGCTAATAACATGCATCCCATTGCGCACGAGGTCCACTTCCGCAGTTTGTCATCTGTCGATGCGACAACCAACTTCAACACCACCAGCAGCCTCGTCCCTCGCCCTCTCTGCTGAATGATGGTTGCGACAGCCCAGCGCCACACTTCCTCCATCTTGGGCACCGAAGAGAGCCGATCATAGCCTGTGCGCCTCAGGGTCGCGCCGCCGCAGTGAAGACCGCCCCCGGCTTTAGGCCAGCACCGCCCGTCCGCCATCCCTCCATCCTGCCCTGCCACTCTTTTCTCTGCCGCGCAAACTCCCACCACCGCCAAAAGCGACGCCGCGCCGAAATCTACAACTACCATGGCTGGCCACGACCTCGAAGCGAAGATCGTCGTGCTCGGTTCGCAGGGCGTCGGCAAGACGAGTCTCGTGCACCGCTACGTGAAGAACGCCTTTGCCAACACGACCTCGACCGTCGGCGCTTCTTTTCTCACCAAGAAGGTCGTCGACATTGACACGTCTACCGTCGTGCGCCTGCAGATATGGGACACGGCCGGTCAGGAGAGATACAGGAGCATTAGCAAGCTCTACTACCGGGGTATGTGCCTTCCCGCTTCCGCGACGCACATTGCATGCGAGGCAACGCGCTGACAGCATATCCATGCAGGCGCTAATGCGGCCGTCCTCTGCTATGACATAACCGACACCGACTCGTTCGAGGAAATGGGCCGCTGGTTCCTCGAGCTCAAGAGCGTCCTCGGCGACGATATTATCCTGCACGTCGTCGGTACCAAATCCGACATGGTGGCCGAGCATCCCAACAAGCGCCAAGTCCCCTTTGAGCGCTGCATCGCCTATGTCGCCGAGAACCTCCACCCCCAGCCGCCTCAAAGCCAGTCTAAGGAGTCCTCTATACCTTCCGGCCTATGGGGCATTGCAGTCCCCAAGTCGGCGGACAGCGGCATGATGTCCCCTCTGAGCAATCGGAGCAGCGGCCTCTGGGGCCAGGACATCGGATGGGACTGCTGCCACGAAATTAGCGCCAAGGACGGCGAGGGCGTCGAAGAGGTATTCCGCGTCATCACGCGCAAGTTGGTCGAACAGCGCAACAAGGCCCTGGAAGCCGAGGCGATGAGCCAAGGCGGTCTTACTCCCGGCATCAACGGACAACAGAACGGCTACTTTGACTACCAACACGGTAGCAATAACGGCAGCTTCAGGCTTGGTGTTGGCGACAAGCGTAGGAGCTGGCTTAGTTTCCCTCCTACGCCAGGCTTCGGCGGCGGCGGCGGTAGTGGCGGTGGTGGCCAGACGCCCCAAGAGTGGGAGGCCGACATTCAGCGGACGAAGATGAAAGGCGGTAGGTGCTGCTGAACTTCATTTCTGATCAATAAGGCATGCCTCACGGCAGTGTTTTGCTTGGGTACTGCATACACCTGCATAGCGAGCGTTCGATGAGTCGACGTTCCTGTTTTCTTTTTTCATTTGGATCATTTCCACTCTCCACCCTTTCCCCTCTGCGCTTCTTGTATTTGCACTTGACTTTTCCATTGGTCCCTTTGACATTGACGGCTTATCGCATATTGGGCTGTTGGAGAGCGACATTGAGAAAGCCCCTCACGGCGTTTCTTTTAGCGAGACACGAAGACGGCGCAGGCGACTCTAGACGCGGGTCGCCCATGATTATAATGGTTATCATAGCAACGAATAGATACCCCCTCAACCTCGACGAGGACTCCGGAAGTGGTCATGTTTAATCGTAAACCCCCCTCTATGTAGCTCTCCCAAGCCCTCATATAAAGCAAAACAAGTGGGCCGTTTACTCCTTTCCGCCAGCCGCAAGCTGCATGACCAAGAACAGCGCGAGGACCCACCAGTACCTGGACACACACAGTTAGCACACCACCCGCTACAACAACCAAGCACGAAACCCACTTCTGCAAGAACGACTTCTCTTCGACCTGCTGGCCCTTGACCTTGCCCGCTTCGTCCAACACAACGGGCTTATTCAAGACGGGCGCCGGGCCCGCCCGCACCTTCTCAACCCTAACATCGACGACATCGTCTGCGGCAGCAGGGCCATCGACCCTCGCCTCAGCGCCAAACCCAACGCCATACACACGGCCCTCCCGGTCCGCATGCAGCACCAGCGTCTTCTTAAACTCGGCGCCTAGCGCGCGCGCAGAGGTCAGGATGCCGGTCCACGCCGCGCCGGGCGAGGGGTCGCGCAAGCCGATGCGGACGAGCGCGTCGGGGCTGGCGTTGGCGTTGCCGTCGCTGCTCACGATGCTGGGCCCGGCCCAGCTGCTGAGCGTCGCGTTGCCCGTGCTTGCGTCGTAGGCGATGTGCGCGAGCGGTTGCGGAGACGTCGCTGCGAGCGGCCAGGCGTGGATCGTGAGTTTCTCGGCGGCGGCGGCGGCGGTCGTGGATGCGAGACTGAAGGTTGCGAGGAGCGTGAGGAGGAGGGCCGTTAGGCGGTTTGTGAGGTGCGCCATTGTGGGCGGAATGGGGGGGAGATAGGTGGTCCTGCTTGGTGGATTGGTGGGTGGGTGGGTAGGTTGCTGGTGCGGAATGCACGCCGCGGCGATGCTGGCTGCCAGGAACGGGAGCACGTGACAGCGCGGACGGAAGAAATAATGACCCGGATGACACGCCTGGCCGTTTCGCGTCGGCGGAATTTGGTCCGAGCAACGGGAGTGATGTGAGAGGTGCATCAGAGCTCAGTGGTCCTAGCTCCCCCGATGCGTGGGGGTGAGGTTGTGTAACTCTGCTTCGGACGAGAAAGCGACGTCAACGTGGTCCCTGGGCCGCCGAGCCCCAGAAATTCGAGCAGAGACTTCAATGGCGGTGGGCGATGATGGCAAGTGGCAAACGCATGCGTTCACGATGCTTCGGCTGGAGGGCGTCTATCCCAACCGTAAACGTCGCGCCGACTTCCAACGCCCCCACTCGCCCGCCGAGGACCCTTGAGCTTTGGCCAGGGTATGAAGTCATGACAGGCAGAGCTGCGATCGTGGTGCTGCGCTGCTGAGAGCCGTTTTTCTACCCCTACCTCCCGCGCCTCCCGTCCTGTCTTCCAATTGTACTCGATACTCCTCTTGTCATCTTTGTCTCGACTCATCCGCCAACCCATCTCACACACACCTCTTTTCAGCTTCCCCACCGTGCCGCTTTCTGCTGTGAAACAGAGAATCGACACGACAGGCTCACAACGCAAGCCACTTGGCTCGTAATCCCGCGTACGCGCAGCTTGCAGCTCACGAGAGAGAGAAAGCCTTTAAGTGAAAACTCTGCCCAGCATGTCGAGCCTCCCCTACCGTGCTCCCTACCGGAAGCAGTCGCGCCAGATGTCGACCGACCCTAGAAACGAGATTCACCCTCATGTCGACCACTACATCGGCATTGATGTGGGCACCGGCAGTGCTCGTGCCTGCATCATGAACGACCAGGGCGACATTGTCGGTCTGGCCTCCGAGAACATTGCCCTCTGGCAGCCCCAGCCGGGCTACTACGTACGTCCCGCAGCGTCCGAAGCTTCCGCAGTAGTCGGCTGACTGAACCCTCAGGAACAATCCTCCACCGACATTTGGCGGTGTATCTGCTCTTCCGTGCGCCGTGCGCTGGACCAGCACAACATTGACCCCGACACTGTCAAGGGTATCGGCTTCGATGCCACCTGCTCTCTGACCGTTTTCAACGAGGAGACGGGCGAGCCCATCTGCGTGACGGGGCCCAACTTCGACAACCGTGATGGTGAAGATCGCAACGTCATCCTATGGCTGGACCACCGTCCTGTCCAGGAGACGGAGAAGATCAACGCCACTAACCACAACCTGCTGCGCTATGTCGGCGGCAGAATGTCCATTGAGATGGAAATTCCCAAGGTTCTCTGGCTCAAGAACAACATGCCCAAGGAGCTTTTCGACAAGTGCAAGTTCTACGACTTGACTGACGCTCTGACCCGCATGGCCACCGGCAATGACAAGCGTAGCTACTGCAGTGTCGTCTGCAAGCAGGGCTTCGTCCCTGTCGGCGTCGACGGCAGTGTCAAGGGCTGGCAGGAGGACTTCCTCACGGAAGTTGGTCTGGAGGACCTCTGCAAGAACGACTTCCAGAAGATGGGCGGCGTAAACGGGGTGGTTCGCACTTACATTCCCTTCTTGGTTCCTTCATATGCTAACTCTTGGCACAGAACAACGAATACCTGACCGCTGGTGAGCTCGTCGGCAAGCTGAGCGAGAAGGCCGCCAATGACATGGGTCTGCCCGCTGGTGTTGCCATCGGCAGCGGTGTCATCGACGCCTATGCCGGCTGGATCGGCACTGTTGGTGCCAAGGTCAAGCTGACCGACGACGCCCTCAACGCCGGTGCGCCTAAGAACGATGTGTCGCAGGCCTTCACCCGTCTGGCTGCCGTTGCGGGCACGTCGACCTGCCACCTCGCCATGTCTGAGAAGCCTGTCTTCGTCGACGGCGTGTGGGGTCCTTACCGTGACGTGCTGCTGCCAGACTACTGGATGGCTGAGGGTGGACAGTCTGCGACTGGCGAGCTGCTCAAGCACGTCATCGAGACGCACCCTGCCTTCCAGGAGGCGCTGTCCGTGGCCGAGACGTTCAACACCAACGTCTACGACTATCTGAACGAGCACCTGCGGGAGATGGCCGAGAAGCAGAAAGCCCCCAGCGTCAGCTGGCTGGGTCGGCACTTCTTCTTCTACGGTGACCTGTTTGGCAACCGTTCCCCGATTGCTGACGCCAGTATGAAGGGCTCGGTCATCGGTCTGTCTTCCGACAAGAGCCTCGACGCTCTGGCGCTGTACTACCTCGGCACGATGGAGTTCATCGCGCTGCAGACGCACCAGATCGTCGACGCGATGAACAAGTCGGGCCACGTCATCAGCTCCATCTTCATGTCGGGCTCGCAGTGCCAGAACGACATCCTGATGCACCTGATCGCGGCGGCCTGCGACATGCCGGTGTTGATTCCACGGTACGTGCACGCGGCCGTGGTCCACGGCGCGGCGATGCTGGGTGCCAAGGCCGCCAGCACCGACGCGCAGGGCAAGACGACCCCGCTGTGGGAGATCATGGACCGTTACAGCAAGCCCGGCAAGATGATCCCGCCCGGCACCAACGAGGGCGAAAAGAAGCTGCTTGCTGCTAAGTACAAGATCTTCCTTGAGCAGATTGAGACGCAGCAGAAGTATAGGTCGGAGATTGACGAGGCTGTCGCTGGCTGGACCTAGTAGATGGCTTCGTGGTTATGATGTTGGAGGATGGTGGGATTACCTATTTGATGACAATGATGCCTCGGACTTTTTGCTTTTGCGTTAGCGCTAGTTGATGGATAGACGATAGAAGTGCTCTGAAGTCTCTCCTTAAAACGACTTTTTTATCTTCGATGCCGTGTTTGATGCAGTGACAGTCTTGTTTGTAGGTAGGCAAGAGTGTGCGCACGTGCTACCCGGAACAATAGCTCCATCGGGCCAAGACGCTGCAAATCCCGACCCATAGGTTTTCCTCGCAGCCAAACGACTCTTCAAGCTTCCCAGCACCAGATCGCATCCACATCCACCTCTAACGCCATCAATCGAGACGGCCATGAACTCTCTCACCATACGGCACGCGAGCAGCGGGCTGCGGCGCTGCGTACGGAGCAGTCACACGCCTACCGCCGCCGCGTCAACCCTCGCCGCTTCCAAGCTCGCCGCCAGCCGCGCCAGCACGTCGCGTACCTACGCCTACGCCACCAGCACCACGCGCGCGGCGCCCGCTTCTTCTTCCTCCACGACGACGCCAGTGCGGCGGGCGGCGCCCGCGTCTGCCTCTTCCGCCTCAGCACCATCGTCAGCAACAGCAGCCGCAGAGAGACAACCACCGCCGCCCACGGCGCGCAACACGGCCGCGTCGGCACAGGCAGCGGGATCGTCGACGCCGATCGCGCCGGGCTACAGCAGTACAGGTGCAAGCAGCACGCGCGAGCAGCGCAGCCTCGAAGAAGGACTGAGCGACAACCCGCTGGAGATCGATGCCGGCGGCGAGCCGAGCACGCAGCCCGACTGGTCGCGCAGCTTCCACGGCATGTCGAGCCAGGCGTTCAGCGCGGAGGCGGCGGCGGCGCTGCTCGAGCCCATCCAGCCCGACGACATCGAAGTCAAGCCCGACGGCATCATCTACCTGCCCGAGATCAAGTACCGGCGCATCCTGAACCGGGCGTTTGGGCCTGGCGGCTGGGGCCTTGCGCCTAGGAGCGAGACAATTGTCACCGGCAAGGCTGTCACGCGCGAGTACGGCCTCGTGGCGGGCGGAAGGCTCGTCAGTATCGCGCGCGGCGAGCAGCAGTATTTCGATGCCGAGGGCATTCCCACCGCCACCGAGGGCTGCAAGTCGAACGCCCTGATGCGCTGCTGCAAGGACCTGGGCGTCGCGAGCGAGCTTTGGGACCCCCGCTTCATTCGCAAGTTCATGAAGGAGTACAGCAAGAAGGTCTGGGTCGAGCACGTGGTGAACAAGAAGCGGAAGCAGATCACGGTCAGGAAGGACGACGAGGTCGCGTATCCGTGGAAGGAGGTGCGTTCCTGAGCGGACGAAGCGGGTGTGTGCAGGCGGGCATGAGAGGGGAAAGCGCGGTCGGTGGTGGAGGCAGAAGCCGCAAGAAGGCGAACGATAGATCAAGCCGGCACAAACAACACAAGCAGCAGCCCTCTCCGCCGGCGCACCATGCAGCAAACGCACACAGCAGCCACGGCACAAAGACCGCTTTAGCCGGCATGGCGCAGCCCGTCGCGATTCTCCCGGAAAATTATCCATACCCACCCACCCATATCGACACGCACAGAACAGACAGACAGAGGCGGAAGGAGCGAGACAGATGAATCAAAACAGATGAAGACAGATGCGCCAGCTCGATACAGTGGGGAAGGGGCGCGGAGGGAATTACCTACCTGGAACTTGTATGCATAGATTAAATTACACACGCTACTTTCACCACACTGCACCACTGCATATATGAAGGGTGAATACACGTGATGGAACCGAGTTGAACGTGAGGGATGACGACGACGGGTTCGTTTGGGATTCGTGATTTTTGCCCGTCCGTCCATATATGTATGTACCCATTCCCCCACGCAAGCCCACGCCCAAGAACAATCCCCAAAATCCTCAAAGCTAGGTAATAACGACAGACAAAAGACAAGCAAGCAAACAAGCCTAACCAATCAACCGACGCGGGGAAAAAAACCGCAGATGGATTTCTGGAACAAATGCATCCCGGGTCTGGTCCAGTCATAACGTCCATTTCTACACAATTCATTCACACTATGTTCTTGTGAGAAATAGGCACAAGATACTCGATAAACAAAGGTATCATTCTCATCCAACCCACCCCTTTCCGTCCCCACCATCATCACCACCACCATCACCACCCACCGCTCACCCCAAAGCCCACTCATCACCACAGCAACTCGGCCCTCGCAATCGGCGCATCCTCACCATTCTCATACGCGCCATTCGGATCCCACTGAAACGGGCGACGATGCCAATCCTTAACAAAACGGACGGCCTCCGCCTTATTTTCAAAATTAATAACATAGCGGGGCGCGGTCCTGCGCAGCAAAGTGGGCGAGCCATCCTCGCCGACGGCCTCGTTGCGGCTGGTCAGATCCAGCTTAATGACGCCCTTGGGCCCGTCCGGCGCCGTCGTAATGCGCCACGGCTTGCCGCGGTTGCGCGAGTCGTGCTGCAGCGCGCGCTGCAGGTCCCAGAGCGAGGGCTGGGCGCCGTCGAGGCGGAAGAGGACGCGCGCGCCGATGTCCTTGTCGTGCGGGCTCAGCGCCACGTTCTCGTAGCCGCCGCGGTGCAGGAAGCGCGCGAAGTGCGGGAAGTAGGGCTGTGGGATGAGGTGCAGATTTAGTGGCGTGCCGAGGTTTATTGTGAAGGATGTTATGGCGTGGTGCATGTTTTTCTTGGTCCCGAGGACTTGGTCTACGTCCGGTGGGGTTGCTAGCGGTGATGTGAGTGATGTCGGCGTGTGTTGGCTTGCCATCTCGTGGAACCGGTATGCGCAGCCTTGGTAGATGCGTGCGGATTCGGCGTTCGGGAAGACAATGTAGTATCGGTCTAGTTGCTCGAGCGTTATCTCGTCGCGCTGGGGTATTACTATAGGCTAGGTTAGCAGTTGGTTCGTTTTGAGGGGATGCAAAGGAAAGGTACCTTTAATGAACTCTCCAGGCCCAGCCCAGCCTTCGACGTGCTGGCTGGGAGGCAGTACCCGCCGGAAATCCTCTTCGCTCAGATGCTTACTGGCGCCATACAGGCAGAGGACTACGAGCTTCTCTGCTGCGGTGGCCTCGATCTTCTCCATGTATTGTTGCGTCAAGGATTTGCGGGCAGGCTGGGGTTGCTCCTCCATATCCGCCTCGAGTCGCAGCCTCGGAACCTCACGCTCGGGCTGCGTCTTCATTTCCTCAGCCTTTCTTTCTGCGGCAAGCTCAGGGAACAGTTCCGGCAATAAAGACCCTTCAGCCTCGGTCTCCGCTACTTCAGACGCCCGTGACTCGCGCGACCCCCTCGAGTCCCTGGCCGGTATGAAGTCCCTGAGAGCAAGCTTTGGTGATTTGGCCTCCGAATCGGTTTTGCGTTGGCGATGGGGTCCTGCTTGAGAATCATCGGTCTTAGGCTCTTCGGGGAAAAGCTCTTCTGCCAGCGACTTGTGGTGGTCCTGCTGGTCCGCCGGAGGGAATGGCTGAGATCCACGCAAGCTTTGTGGAATAGCGTCTGCTTTAGTGTGGGGTAACGGTTTCCCTGGTTGTTTCGATAGATATCGAATCCCCGAACCGTCTTCAGATCCCGAGTCCTTCTTCGCTTCGTTTGTTTCTTTTGGATGGACCTGATCTTCTGAGAATTTAGGCAAATGCCATTCTTTTGACACGTCCTTTCCAAAAGTCGGGATTCTGTCGTTATGGCCTTGTTCCGGTTTATCTTTTTGCAATTCCGCCAATTGAGTCCTAGCTTGGTTCAGCAGCGTCTCCAGTTCGTTCAACCGCTGGTCGCTTGCGCTCAGCACCTTTGCAGGCTGGGAATCTGCGGGATCTGATCTTGGTTTGTGCTTGCGTCGTCTTTGGTTTAGAGGCGTCTGCTCATCTGGTCTATGCTTTCCCGTTCCCATAACCACCGTGCGGATCAAAGGCTTTGACCCAGATTGCGCTCTTGACTTAGTTCGCGGGTTGTGTTCCACATGACGGATCAAAGGCTTTCGCCCAGAATGCGGTTCGCCTTTCGCCGCGTTTGAACCCGTGCCATTATCTCCGTTGTTGGGCCCATTGCCTGAGGACGAGACGAAGGATCGAGCATGGTGGACATGGTGGACGGCGGAGAGGAGACTGCGCGCGTTCCACGCAGGGCGAAAGGGCTGCGACTGGAGCGGGCGCAGTGACGGCATCAATTGGACGTCTGAGGCGCGAACAGACCGGCGCGCTGCATGATTTTCCTGGCGTGACAGGTCGCGACGCGGCGGAGGAGAGAGCTGTCAGGCACGGAGCATCGGGTACCGATTGGCCGTGATTCACCCGGCGTGCCGAGAGATTTGACGATAGATCTGATAAGAGCCCGCCTGCGCATCCAAAAAATTCCCAAGAACGATCGCCTGCGCCTTGCGACGACTTGTGTGTGCTGAGCCCATAACTCCTGCGGCACTCGAGAGAGCCTTGCGCGTCGCCGTCTCACTGCCAGCATGGACATCTCTCAGTTCTCGCTCCGGCCTACAACTGGCCGGGCATTGAACCTGCCCGCAAAGGCTCTCGACGGAGGCCTTCGCATCCAGATGTCGCTCAAGAACCTCAAATCCATAGGTCTGGAAATTGGGGATTACTGCCAGCTGGAGGCAGCTGATGGCACGCCCACTGCCGTCTGTGTAGCGTGGCACTCCAAGGACAACAACAACCCGAAACGAATTGCTTTTATTGAGGAGCCCCTCAAGGAATTATATGGTTTCAGGCTGGAGGACCGCGTCACCATCTCCAAAGTCGAGTCTCAGCGGATTGCACATGCCCAGAAGATCTACATCAAAGAACTCGAACCTGGGACTAGCATCGTTTCGAAAGACGAGTTGGAGTACTGGGCAAAGGTGTCTTTATGTGAGTTGCCTCCCGATTCGCCAACGTCGAGAAGCCCTCCGTGATCTGCATGTGCTACTCACGCAAATCATTGCGCGACTAATCGGATCCACAGGCAGCCTTGACGCGGTCATCACGGGAGGTACCTTCTCAGTGACCACATTGTCGGGTCCTCGATCTGGTCGCAAGAGCCGATTCGTGGTTGAGAAGGTCGAGCCGCCAGTAGAGGATAAGCTTACACCTTATTCGCCGTACTTTTGCAACCATGCCAGCAGTGTCCAGCTTTTGGCCGACGGCGAGACTGTGCAACCTACAGCCTCAAATTCCCAGCCTAAACGTTTCGAAATCAGTTCAGATGGAATTGGCGGCCTTCACAAACAGATTATTGAGCTTAATGAACGGCTTGTCACGCTGACCAGTGAAGTGAGGCGCCGAAAGTATCCCCTGGTGCTTAAACGCAGCACCGGTATTCTACTACATGGACCTGAAGGCACCGGCAAGAGTCTTTTGCTCCGCAAGATCGCCGAAGCTCCTTGGAAAAAGGCCATTTTTATGGATGAACAGCTTACCGGTACATTTGAAAAGAACCAAACTATTTTGAAAAAGGCATTTGAAGAAGCCAAGGCCTCTCAACCTAGTGTCATCATATTTGACAAATTGGACGTTTTTGCCCCTAAAAATGACGAGAACTCACCGGCCCCCAAATCTAGCTTGGCCCGAAGCATAGCTGTCGAGATGGACAAACTCGGAACTGCCAGAGTTCTTCTCATAGGGGCTTCTACCCGACTAGCTGATGTCGATACTGCTCTTCGGACGCCAGAGCTGTTCGCCGAGGAACTCGAGATCCCAGTTCCAGATGCGAAAGCCCGTGTTTCTATTCTCAAAGTCTTGCGGGAGAAAGAGTGGCAATTTACGGACGAAGTCGCGGAGAACGTCGGCGGGAGAACGCATGGTTTTGTAGGCCGCGACCTCGCTGCGTTGCACAAAAAAGCTCTGAAGAGGGCCTGTGACCGGTATTTCGAGCAGAACGAACTCGCTGAGTCGACGGACGGCAACCCGGATCCAGTTGAGGGGCAGACTTCAGGGGAAACACAGCCACCAACCGAGGAAGTTGGGGCGGAATTGCCATCGAACGACGAAGCCTCAGGGGCTGCAGCCTCGGTTTTGCAGGAGGATTTCGAGGATGCTCTGCTCAAAATACGTCCCACAGCCATGAATGAGGTATTCTTGGAGACTCCAAAGGTCAAATGGTCGGACATTGGAGGGTCCGAGGGCGTGAAGGCGGCGCTTAGAGAAGTCACCGAGTGGCCTTTTCGGGTGAGTAGATGAGGTTGTGTAACTACTCGTATATGCTAACGATATTTGCAGCATCCAGAAGACATGGAAGACCTTGATCTCCAGCCGCAGCGTGGAATTCTCCTATATGGCCCCCCTGGTTGTTCCAAGACGCTGTGCGCGAAGGCGGTTGCGACCGAGTCAGACCTAAATTTCCTGGCGGTCAAAGGTGCGGAGCTGACTAGTATGTATGTCGGCGAGACCGAGCGTGCCGTTCGAGAAGTTTTCCGGAAAGCTCGAGCGGCAAGCCCCAGTATTATCTTTTTTGATGAGATCGACTCGATCGCCTCGTCGCGGGAGAGCGGCAAGCAGCTGAGCGGACTCAACGTGCTCACGACGCTGCTGAACGAGATGGACGGCATCGAGTCGCTCAAGGGCGTGCTGGTGCTTGCGGCGACGAACCGGCCGGACGTGCTGGACTCGGCTCTGATGCGACCGGGTCGGTTCGACGCGATTTTGTATGTCGGGCCCCCCAACCTTGCGGCGCGCAAGCAAATCGTTGAAATTGGCACGCGGAAACGGCCGTTGGGCGACGACTTTGAGGTGGAGGAGATGGCGCTACTTACGGAAGGCTATTCCGGAGCCGAAATCATCGAAATCTGCGCAGAGGCAGCGCGAATGACGCTTCGGGATCGGCTCCAGCATGGAGATAAGCGAAAGATTGGCAGGGAGCAGTTTACGAAGGCGCTGCACAAGACGCCCAAGCGCATCACCAAGGAGATGACGGACAGGTATGAAAACTGGAGCATTGACGACGCCATAAAACGGCTGTGAACGGATGGGGGCGGGATAAGTGTAAGAAAGAATATCATCGGATGTATAGGCGTTCTGGAACGCACATAGCATTGGGCTTATAGGCGGGCGGGCGCTCGCGCCAACGGCAGGTGAGGCTCGGGAGAGCAGAGTTTCAGGTGTCAGGGTTGCAGCTGATCGACACTCCTGGTTTGTCTGATTTTCCGGAAGCCAGCAGCACATCGCGCAGGCTCCAACAACATCAACCCACTGCCGAAAGGCCGCGGCTTTGGGGATTCTCGCCGCGCCCGGCCGCGAAATTGAGCACGGTCAACCTGAAACGCGGGCGGTAGCAACGACATCCTGTGCTTTCTCCCAACGGCCGCACTCGACGCTACCCCACCCGCTCGTCATGGCCCCGACGGGGACAGGGCTCATCCTGGGCCCGCTTCATTTGCGTGAGACTGCTGACAGGGCTGGCCCGTGGTCGCGTGCGCTGCGACAGCCCACTGATACAAGCTTCCTTCTTTCCGCCCTCACGCCTCGTCCTGTTGCCTTCTTTCTTTCTCTTCGGCTCCCTTCTTGGCCGTTGCGCTTCCAGCCACTACTCCCTTTTCATTCGCTGGCTCTCCGGAGAGCCGTCCTGTCATTACGAC